AAGCTCGCGTCTGAAGCGGTCAGGACGCCAAGACTTTCAAAGTCAAACAAACGCTCCATTCCGGTACCTCAGCTTGAAGTCTCGTCCCTTCAAAGCCAACTCCTAAAACCTTGTTAGCCTCATGGAGAGTGCTAACGGTTGCACCTTTTAACGAGCTCTGAAGCTTCGATACACGGTAGATGATATCTGGCCTTGCTTGCCTAGAAATCCACGAAAGGCTGCCGACTACGGACCGTAGCTGGCGTTCTTCTCCTCGGTCCACAGGATCCGAGTGCTTCCGACTCGCCTTGATATCAATGTAAGTGATTTTGTTAGTATTATCGGTAACGTCGATCAAAAAATCCTTCCCGGATGCGTCGAAATGTTTACCGCAGAAGCGTAGGCGTAGTCTTCCAGACTCGCGACGGCCTACTTCGAACTTCTTTAGAAGCCTATCGATGATAATGCCTCCGTTGCCTATCGATGCCCACACGAAGTCATCGACGTTGGTGGTCAGAACGCAAACTACTTTTCCGCCAGCGCGGTACAAGTAAAACGCGGGAAAAATCCTACACACCTGGAAGCCGACTTCGCGTGCTTCGCCCTATCTACCTTTCTCCAGAACCCGCGACCGCTGTCGCAGAGTCCATAGACAGGTGGTACTTTGATGAGAAGCATTGCTTCCGGGTCTACCCCTGGAAGCCCACCATAGGTTGGCGCATGCCCACCCTACCAAGCGGCTCAGCCTGAAAATAGGCATTCCGGATATCGGATGATTCCACGAAAACCCCGTTGGAAGCGGCGAAGGCTGCGACTAGCGCATGCGTCTCCAGGTCTGAGGCAGGCGCGTCGGTTCGAACTTCAGTGGAAGCCTCGAAATTTCCACAAGACACCAGTCGGGACTTGAACTCAGGTTCATAGTCTGGTTTAAGACGTTCATGGAAGTTCTTCATTGTATCGACCCACATAGATGGTATCGGTGTGTGACCGGCATCTAGAAGTTCTTGCAGAGGTTGCCCTTTCAGCGGAATTGCCGCTTGAAAGTCCTCAAATTCCACTCCTTGGCGCGTGATCCGTCGATTCTCGATCGTACGGCAGGAGTGCATTCCCAATTCTTCCAGGCCTCCGGGAGGTCCTTGAGTTCCTGCTCAACCTGTTCTCTCGAAGAGAGACGGTTAAACCAGAAGCCTCTGAGTTTCTGACGAATACTCACGTTCGTTTGCTCCTCGTGTCTGCGTTCCTCAAAGCGACTCCTGATAGACGCTGGCAAGTCGTCCAAAAGGTCTGCACGGCTACTCCTCCTGCTATGGGTAAGAGTTCTTTCTGCATCTGGCTCGACGGTGCTAACACGCCGGGAGCGGGAAGAAAAGGCGGGAGGAGGTGATCTAGATCTACCTCTCTCTTCTTCAAAGATTGACGAGAGTGGGCCAGGGCCGTCTAGGAGACCATAAGATGGTTCTCCATCGTCCTCTTGAGGGACTTCCTGAGAAGCGTCCTCGACGAGAACGTCCTCCGATTCTTCCTCTTCGATGTCCTCACTTGGTACAATTCTGAGGTCCTCAAAATGCTGTTGGCCGCGTACGAGTTCGTCGGGTAGAACTACTAAGGTTTACACTTTCACGTGTGCGGAGGCATTCGGCCACCCCAGGGGTCCGATGCACCGGAACTGCGAAGATGAGAGTACACAAGGGGCGCCAGCCAGACCACGCAGAAAAAACCTACATAAACACAACGGGCTGTCCGTGCAACGATCTTCCGATGACAAATCTTGGCACGCTGTTCGGTTTATGCTGTATGTGGGATTGACAAATCTTGCGGGGCTAAGACTGGGCGAATTGTTCTGGGAACTACCGTGCGTCTCACGATGGAATATGTTTGAGCTACTGGGCTCGACATGCAAAAAACAGTGGCCTCTCCGAAAGGCCTGTTGCAAAATGAGCTCAATTCGTTCAACTGCACTTGTCAATGGAATAAGTGACGGCAGCCCCCTGGAAACCTTCTTGCATGTTCAGAATGAGGCGCTATAAACGGGCTTTGCTTTCGAAAGAAAAGCCTTTGCGACCTAGGCCCCGGAAATGCCACACGAATAAGGTTGGAATTGCATAGTCCAATGACCCGCCAGAGACTGCCTGGAACAATAGTTGTTGCATCTCGAACGAATTCTGTGTTTGCTGGGCTTTCAGACCAGTGAGGAATTCACACAACAAGTAAGCCTAGGGGCCCACGAAGGGGCGCGGAATGGGCGGAGCCCGTGAATGGCTGCTTTCGGATTTCGGTCAATGACAGTTTTGGCTTGTAGTGGGCAGCGGCGTACGCCTTGATGACAAGGCTTTCCTGTCGGCTGAGGCCGGACAGTTCGAACAACAACTCCACACGCATCGGCTCGGAGAGCTCGATGCTAGCGTCCAGGGATTTCGTCGCCGCCGGCTGACGTACGACAGCATCGACTCGCCGCCTTGGCGTGCGAGGACACCTTGCTTTTGGCCAACATTCCTCAATTGGGTAATGAAGTTCCTTGGACCACCTGGTTCGGCTAAGAGATTCTATACCGATATCTCTAGCAAGCTCGAAGGCTTCATCCCGAAGTCCTTCCAACACCTTGTGGACCATCTCCGTCCTCGCCTTGATGGCCTAGGACGTCATCTCGTCCATAGGAGGCAATGGAGAAACGGAGGCCGAGTCTTCCGACTTCGGCGTGCTAGGCTGTGGCCTCGACGGTCTCGGCAGAAGCTGCGGGTGCTTCCACATCGGGCCTCTCCTCAGAGGGTACAGGTGTTGCGGTTGCGGCCTGCGTGGGGCTCGTATCAGGCAGGCGACTGTCGTCGCTATCATCCGGGTCGACTGCCCTAGCTTTACCCTTCTTGCTCTTGGACCGGATGGCGTCCTCGAGAGAGGTCCTATATTCCCAGTCATGGCATGCACGGGGGGTTCCATCGTAGATATAACTACCAAGTCGAGTCTCCAGGGGAGAGAACCTGAGGCCAGCAACGGACATTGCGGCGAAGGCAGGGGGAAAACCTCCCCGGAGGGCAGAGACAAGTGGAAGGAAGAAGGTGAAGTGATAGGAGTGCGCAATGGGTCGATCAAGGCTCACCCGGGCCTGCACAGGCTACCTGGTTACTCAGTCCCGCGGGCTGGTCCACCCGGGGTACCAGCTCCGCTACCAGTTTGAAATTGGCGGACTTCTCACCGAACTGCGAAGCTGACTGATATGCCCAAGGGACCCCTCCGGCAGCGGATACAAACATATATACAAGCATGCATGTCATGGTCATGGCTTCTACGCATGCTCAGGTCAGGGTGCATTCACAGGTGGCAAGACTAGCCATGTGCACTTGCGAAGTTACGGAGTTTTCGGTGCTGCCAGAGGTTTAGTGCCACAGAATATTATGTTAATTATACAGTGACTGCTATCGTCAGAGGTAACCGCTCAGCCTGCACGAGCACTCAAGAGCAAAACAAAACATCCTCCTTGGGCGTAGGCTGATGGAAAACTCTGCCTCCCAGAGCACTTCTACCTGCAAACGTGCCTGCGCGCATGTAGCATGCTGACTATGTCAACACGCATGGCCACTCCGGCGGCTGAGTTTCGCACTTTCTCTTCTCCTTCATGTTCGACGAAACGTTGAACCTTCCAGCCAAACTTGTGCACAAGGGATCGGTTCCCGACGAGCACCCCCCCCCTCCCCGGCCCCCTGCTAGGGCGACAGTGGCCTTTACTGCCCTTTGCTGCTCTGTACTGCCTTTCGCTGCCCTTTACCTGCCCTTTACTGCCATGTACTGCCCTGCACTGCTCCTTACCTGTCCTTTGCCATCTACCTGCCCTTTACCTGCCCTTTACTGCCATGTACTGCTCCTTACCTGTCCTTTGCCATTTACCTGCCCTTTACTGCCCTTCACTGCCCTTTACCGCCTGCTACTGCCCTTTACCTGCCTTTTTCCTGCCCTTTACTGTGCCCCTTACTGCTCTTTACTGCCTTGCACTGCCCTTTACCTGCCCTTTACTGCCCTTTACTTCTCTTTACCTGTCCTTTACTGCCCTTTACCTGTCATTTTCTGCCTGCTTCTGCCCTTTACCTGCCCTGGACTTTACATTACTGCCCTTTACTGCCTTTTACTGCTCTTTACTGCCCTTTTCTGCCTTTTACTGCTCTTTTGCTGCTCCTTTACTGCCCTTTACTGAACCTTGCTGCCTTTTACTGCACACTGCACTTTACTGCCCTTTACTGCCCTCTACTGCCCCTTTCTGCGTTTTACTGATTTTACTGCTTTTCACTGCCCTTTTCTGCAGGCACTCTACACATACCGCATGCATGTACAGCTCGCTTGTGTTGTGATTCGTCCAAGTTTTTTCTTGCAAGACGGATATCTGATTCAACAGTAAAGCTCAACGGTATTTGGCAGTTGTGATTTGTCGCATTAGCTGGTTTTTCCCCCACTTGAACTCTGTGACGGAGGGGGGCTATGACGTTTGCCCCCCCCCCGAGATGTTGAGAGGGACGTGGGAAAACACCGTGGCAAGTTCAAGAATCTGCGGCAGATCGGAACCGGGAAAAAAGGAAGGTTTGTCAGTGCATCGATTTCAACAAGCCCGAGGACAGCGCTCTGTATAAAACCATGCGAACACTCTGTCACACACACACACACACACACACACACACACACACATCGGGCCTCCAGCGTCTGACCCGAACCCGGACCCAAAACACTGCGGAACGCACGGAGGCACGGAAGCGAAGGAGTCAGGCTTCCATGACGATTGGACGATTGCGATTCTTTTCAGGTGTGGCTAGAGGTGCAGGCACGGCAATCCGCCCTCTCCTTGTTTTCTGAAGCAACCGCTTGGCGTGAACGAAAGTACGAAATCTATGACACCAATGCCAAAGCTTGTCCAAGCGCGCGCTTGGGCAGCTACCACACTCCCTACACTGCCCCACACTCTGCGGACACTGGTGGCCCGCAGCTTGGCTCCGCACTCGGAAAGGTGCAAAGTTTGAGAGGAGCCGACGAAGCCGTGGCTGTTAAAGCTTACTGTGCGGCTCGGCGGCAAAAGTGATGCAACACCTTCACGGACAATGCAAAGGACCCAGTGCTCAACAAAGTCTCAACTTGCTGAGATCCAGACTTACCGATGACCTCGCCAGGATACAAGAGGGTGCGCTCGCACTCTCCAGCGGGTGCCTGGCCTTGCGTTCCTCCATGAGCTTAAAAGCTTCCCTGACTCTGTGGCTGCAAAACTCCAAGTCAATGGGAAGGGAATCCAGACAGCATGGAATGGGCCTGAAACGATCGACCGGGAACTCGGAGCCCACATAGGGCTTCAGCTTGCCCTCACTGGCCTGGCAGGCAGTCTCGTGGTCTCTCTCAGAACTACGACAAAATTCACCGGTGGATACACTGAGAGGCACGCCAGTCGGAGGAGCTCCAACATTGTTTCCCTTGCCAGCGCTGGCTCCAAACCTCACGCTCACGACATGTACACCTGAGAAGTGTGGCAGATGACAGCAGGAGCCAGTTTTTGTTTTTTTCTTTGCGACTGTCACGGCTCACGCCGGCTCGCGAATCGCCGGGCGTCTCACCGGTCGTCCGGCATAGCCGATACTTGCCCTTCCACGCATCTCCCTGTCTCCGTCACACCGGTCCCAGCCGGTCCACCGGCAGGTCTCCGACGCCAGGCTGGGCCGCGTCTCCTAAGAGCGCGGCTTCGAAGGGCACCAGCAAGACAATGAGCCCGGTGGGGTTCGAGTTCATGGACCCTCCAAGGTGTGAAGTCGGTGTGAAGTCAGGATCTTGTCGAACACGTCCGGGTCACCTCTGCCCACGCCCTGCACTCCGCACCCACTGCGTCGCCTGGAGGCGGAGCTCCGCCGCGCGCGGGCACTCTGCCAAGGACAGGGGCTCAGAAGTCCTTGGGAGGAAAAAGGCGCGAAGGCTTCCCAGACTACTTCGCGTAGTCGCTCTACCTGAGCGCCGGGCAGTGGGCAGAGGCCACCATTGCTTTGCAAGGCCTTCGCCAGGTTCGTCCTCCGACCGAGCGGCCACAAGAAAGTTGCATTGACATGAGTCAGAGTCTTAATATGTGCTCTCTGCTTGTAGTTATACGACAAAGATATTAAGATATTGCTGTCGTCGTTTTTGCCTCTCGAAGACGTGCCCGGCCGGCGAGCGCACCTCGGCTCTCAAAGCGTCCAGGAGTCTAGGATGCGGTGGTGGCGTGCGGCTGAGCTTCTGGATCCACAAGCAGCTTTCCGTCAAGCCGACCTCAGCCGGCCCTTGACTGGGAATCGGAATGACAGTAACTTGCGGCAGTTGAGTAGTCGAGGGGCAACATAGCTCGGCGGGGGCATCTCTGAGCCGCTCCCTGCGGCCAAGACATGCAGAAATCTGGGGACTTGCGACGAGCTCACGACACCAAGGAACCTTACTGCTGAGGCCGCCTGAGGCTCGAATTCCCGGAAGGCCTCGCGATCGGGGCTTTGCCCGCCGGCGGCGTGGGCGCTTCCGGCTCGGGCTCCGTGGGCTCCGTGGGCTCCGTGGGCTTCGCCGAGGGTGGCGGTGGAGGCGGAGGCGGCGGCGCCGGGGTGTCAGAGGCCGCGGCACCAGTGCTGGCACTGACGCAGGAGTACCAGCGCTCCCATGTCTCCGGCCGCCGCACAGGAGCACGAGACCTGAGATCTCAGACCGAGAACTAAAAAAGCTGCCTGGCCTTGTCTTCGCCTTTAGTTAAAGTTCCCAAAAGAAGATGGTCCCGGGAGTTCTCCAACTGAGACGTTCGCCTGGCCAGGTGCTGAGTGACCTGGGCTTGCTCCTTGTCGGTGAGGCGCGAGAGCGCCGATCGCAGCTCCTGCGCTCCGTCTTCCTCGGGCTCCAGGCCCGCTCCTGCAGCGAAGACCACCCAATGCGCCATCCAAGAAGCGGAAGGGGAAGCGGAGGGAGTGCAGAGCCAGGCTCTCAGCGCTTCCGAGGCTTCAGAGGCCGGGGGCGGGGGAGGCAGCAATTGCGCGAGCAGGGCCAGCTCGGAGACCCAGCGAAGCTCCAAGTCCTCAGGCGCAGAGCGGGCACTAGCAGCACTAGCACTTCTCTCCTCTTTTCTGAGACAGTGCAGGGAACTGATTAGGATCGCTCCGGCCTCTGGCGCAAGGCCGAAGACCAAGCCCCAAAGACTCCTGCCATAGCCAGCTGCTTCAGCCAGGAAGGCGTCGATGACTCCGGCGGCATCTGCATGATTGCTGATGCCAGTGTCCGCGTTCGCTTCTGCAATGACATCCGCCCAGGCACCGGCTTGGCTTTGAACCGGCTTGGCAAGTGCTGCGACAAACGGCACCAGCGCCTTTACGCACTCGGCTTTCCGTGAAGACCTTGGCCGAGCGTGCAGACAAAGTGCAAATCCGAATCAGTGGACTACAAAACACAGAGCCGGGTCTTGCGGTTGCGGGCACCGTCCTTTTGTGGTCGCCAAGGTGCGCCTCCGCGTGGTCCAGCAACGGCTTCAACAGCGACGAGTCGCAGGCAGCCAGTGCCAGACGACTTCGGTGCAGATCCAGACCAACGAGCCGCTCTTGCATGGAAAAGCATCCGATCACACCCAAGTCCTTGTATGACCACCATGCAGACCGTACGCAGACCCCTCGCAAGAGCCCCAATCGCCGAGGTGCGTCGGCGATGACATCTGCCTTGCCGCTTCGCTTTGCTTCTGATGTGATTTTCAACTCATGGGGGACCCTTGACGAGTCTGTCTGGGCCTCCAGTTCGCCACCGAAGGCGATGTCCGGAGAAGGCAGACCTGCAACCAAAGAGGTTCGTCATGATATGCCGGTCCCTTCGTGTTCCAGAGACGTCGACATTCTTGGGCAGGGGCCGCAAAGCGCCAGCAGCACCGCGTTCTTCAGCTCCGGGAGCTCGCAGGGGAGGAGGGCCTCCGAAACATGCGAAAGGAGGCCGGGGCCACGGACTCTCTTAAGTGGGTTCCTCGAAGCCGGAGCTATCGTCGGAGCTGGAGCTGAGCAGGCCCTTGCTGAGGACCAGGGCCCACTGGGGATCCCCATTGGCCCACTCCCACAAGGAAGCGGGCTCCAGGCGGCCGCCCTCGAAGCGGGACCTCGGACTGGGACGTCGCTTTGTTCTCGCACTTGCTCGAACATCTTCCAGCCCCAGCGGCAGGATGGTGAGGATCCAAACACAGATCAGCTGAAAGGAGCTCTGCAGCTGTCTCTCTTCCTCCCCACTGCTTGCTTCAGCCTCGAATCGACAGAGCGCCCCGTAGACCTCGCTGACAACAGGTCAAGGCCACTTAGACGGGAATGTGTCGCTGCCTGACCTGCATGGAGATCATGTCAAAATCCGCAGCCACCGGTTCAAGATACCTCCCGCAGGGCGAAAGCTGGCTCGGATTGAGGACTCCCAGTTTTCGATGTCTTTCGAGGTGCGGGGCGATCTGGGCGCGCTTCGCATAGCCTTGGTCGCCCGCACGCTCACGCAAGGCAATCAACCATGGATGGCTTCGATGCTATGAGCTCCTCGCGGTGGCTCGGGATGCTCATGTCGTGGCTGCCTAAACGGAATGCAAAACAGTTCAATCTTTAGCCTGTAACCAGAAACAGAAGTTCCTCCGGAGCAATCAGCCGAGGCACCCAGGGACAGCAGCCCCGCCACCGCAGCGAGGCCTCTGAGAAAAAAACACCCTTGGACTTCGCTTGGACATTGCTTGGACATCGCCGGGCGGCTCATGGCAATGGCCCTGGCCAGCTCCACGCTGAAGCCCCACCTCAAGTCTACAGACAGAGCCAGCTGAAGCTAGAGCAAACACAGAGAAGCACCGGGCAGCCGGCACGACCAGGCTCTGGTCAAAGCACTCCGTCATGTGCGAAGCCAGCTCCAGGTCTACCGCATTGGTCAGCCCTGCGAGTGCGAGAGTGCGTGGCATGATTGGATCCGCGGTGACAAGAGCTGGCGTGCTGAGGCCGCCTATGCAGTCCAGGGCCAGTTGGCACACAAGCGCGATGGCCTGCCATGCAGCGGTCCACACTCCACTCACTCGACATCAGACAGCGGCGAACCTATATACAGTCAACTACCATCCTGCCTTTTGAAGCCAGACTGGGCAACAATTAATTCGTGTTGCAGATTTCGGGGTGGCCTGTGGCACCGTGACGGCATCCGTTCCTCCAAGCAGATCCAGAGTTTCCCGGACCTGCTCAAGGCTGCTTGCACTGCTTGCACTGCTTGCAGCATGTGAACCGCGGACAGTCAGACGCACCGCGGCCGGAGGCCCGGAGGCCTGGCGCTCGAAGGACTGCGCACGATCGGCTCCTACACACCGGGGGAGGCTCGTGTGCAGCGGGGAACGGCAGCGCTTTGATCCAGGCTAAGGCTGCCACCGACGCAGTTCACCAGCCGCAAGCTGCAGGCACAGGATGCGACATGTTGCAGAGCTCCGATGATCTCACCGTACTCCATGGCTGAGATAGCCCCATTGGCCCATTACCTAGTGCCCTCCGGCAGGCCGGGCCGGAAAAGGCGACGCACGACAAGTTTTCACTCCCAGCTATGGCTATGACCTCTATGCGATGCAGGAAAGACGTTACAACAAGCTCAAAAGCCTGAAAGGCTGCCAATCGGCTGCGTTAGGTTGCAGCAGCAACGAACAGCAAGAGAACAGCAACCAAGGCGCGGAAAAGCTCTCTTCGGAGTCCCCAGGCTGGGGTCTTCCCTTTGGCTTGCTCAGGTCGGCGCCCAGTTGGGCACCAGATCGGACTCCCACCAGATCAAAGCCCTTGATCAGAGCCTTCGCTTCTCTGCTTTCGGGGGGCTGCTTGTGCATGCTTGTGCTTCCGTCACAAGCACCGCGCCATGTTGATTCCGAACTTTGGGATGGTACCAGACCTGCAGTGCGCTGGGCGCGCCGTCTCCTACGAGGCCACTCTGTGCCGCCCGGCGCGAAGCCGACGACGAGAAGCCGCGCGTAGCCCTTCGGTGTCACGCATCTCCTCAGAGCACGCCAACTTGGCGGGAGCTGAGCTGCACCACGCCACTACGCCACTACGCTCTTCCAGCCATCGCCAGAAACTTTCTTTCTTTGGCTTTGGAACCTCGTTGAGGCAGTGGCACACACTGGTCAAAGATCTCACCTCCGACCGGGTCGTAGATCACCTAATTGCAGACAGAAGGCACAGAAGGAACACCGGGAAACAAAGGGCTTCTCTCTTGCAGAGATGCCATGCACTGAGGAGGAGGCGTCGCAAAATTCGCCTTTTGTTATCTCTCCAACCTTTGTGCAACATGCCCCTTCGATATCGTGCTCAGAGGCTCGGAAAGTGATGTTCGTCACAGTGAGCTCGCAGCTGCGTCTTTCAATTTCTGCTTGCTGTAATTCACCACATAGTCTGCTCCCAACTGCACACAGAAAATATTGCTAAGCGAGCTGAAATGCCGATGCGAGCTGCTCCGATGGCCGAGCCTTCTTGCACATTTCCAGCTTGTCGTCGGAGCTCGCCGCTGCAATGACCTTCGACCACTAAAGATCTTGCTGGGCAATGGTCTTGAGTCCTATGTCCCAACTGAACCAAACGTCCCAGCGATTTTAGATCAGCAATCTCGGCAGGCCATGTTGAGCAGTCTCTTTTTCCGCGGCCACGGCACATCTCCGTCGAAGCCTTCTTCCTGCGCGGTAAAGACGCCAAAGACCTCTGAGACCGCCGACGGCTGACCGGCCCCCGGGGCCCCCGGCCCCGGCCCTCTCTTCTGGTGTCCTCCGTGATCCGTCCTTTCCGGCCCGGGGGCCGGAAGATCTCTCCGCGACTCCGAGTCCGCCAGCTCAAGCTCAACTCTTGTGTGCGGTGGCGTCACTGGAAGTCCACCACGACACTCCGCATTTCCCCGTTCACGAACCACTCGGAGAGCGCAGGATCATCGCACTTCAGAACCGCATTGAAGAGGCTGAAGAGCCAGGCCTCGGATTTGCAAGGCTGCCACAAACCTTGAAAGTCCAGGCTACTCCTTTCTCGTTCCTTTTTTGGACGGGAGGGGCCGGGCCATTGGGCCATCGCTATGAGACCGCGCTGAGCCGTCGCTTTCGGCCTGGCTAAATCGTCCCCAGATCTCCGACAAGGCGCTGAGTGAGTAGAGACCACGATCTCCGTCTCAGAACGATTGCGAATCCAGAGCATGAAGTCGTAGGCCCGCTCGGCGACTTCCAAGTCACTCTCCATGTGCAAAGTCGAAAGCAGAGGATCCTGGCTCAAGCTCGGAATCGAAATGTCACGGAACTGAAGGAAACGCCCCTCCCTTGAAAACCTCTTTCCCGGGTTGTCGGCCCATGTCGGCCCCGGAAGGCCTCCTCTGGTATCAGCGAGAAATCCACATTGGGAAAGTCCTGCTTAGCATCGCTAGCGGATCGCCGGTAGTCACAAGAGTTGCCGTGGCTCTTCTCCTTGCCTCAACAAGGGCGCGGCACACTCAACTTACGAGCTTTACGCTCTCGCTGGGCCAACAACCCCTTTCCCCCAAGTAGGGCAGAAAGGTCACAGGACTCGTGTGCAATGAAGGGAACGTGGCCGATGGCGTGGGCGAAAGCGATGTTCGAGGTCATCAAGGCACGGGACATCGGTGAGACGACCACCAGCTCAGCCTTCGTCTCCCGCGCCCGGCTCTGCAGAACCTTCGCCTGCAGCCTACAGGAAAGAAAACTTGAAAGGACTAGACAGTTAGACACTTGGAGTCATGGTAGAGCTAAGGGAGTAGAAAGAAAACCCAACCCCGCTCCGCCCCGGCCGCCCCGCCGGCCTTCCGATCTCCGTCAGGGGAGGGTCGAAGACCTGAAAGAAGACAAGGCCGACGAGGCGACGAGGCGACGAGCAAAAGCGGAGCCCGCCTCCGGGATGTTGTAAGGTTTCGCCTTCACCTCCGCTCCGTGAGCTCACGCGGAACTGCTCTCTCTCTCTCTCTCTCTCTGTCTTCGCCCTTTTTGATTGGACGATCGGCATGGTAGACTTTGCAGAAGTCATTCAGGGAGTTGTGGAAGCCCTGGCCGTGGCGGATGAAGTGCAGAAGCCTCAGAACCGAGCTCCGATCCGAGTGGGAGCGAGACTCAGAAAGAGCGAAGCTTCGGCCACGGGCACTTTCCGGAGGTCGGGGCTTTCGCGCTCTGATCCGCTGCTCTGCAAAGCATCTGCACCGGCCAGGCCTGGCAGAGACCGGAGAAGGGTCGCAGAGACATCTTGGGAGGCATGCCGGCATGCCCAGGCCATGGGATGCGGCCACGGTCCGGCCTTCCCCAACACCTTGGCTGCACGCAATCGCTCGCGGTTCTTGGCACCGTCCTGCAAGGCCGTCTCCTGACACGTGGCCCACAGACACGGCAAAAAGCGCCTCTGTCCACGCCTTGGAGGTCTCCGTCCACAAGCTTTTCTGCAGCGCTGCCAGGCCCTGGAACTCTGCATACTCCTCGATTGCACCATTGCACGGTTGCACGGGCACCGCTTCCGAAAGCTCCTGCGAAGGCCTGGCCGTCTTCTGGAGGCTTGCAAGAGCCCACCCGACGACGGCACCGATCAACGCCCCGGCCACGGAGGACAGCATGGCAGATTTTGCGGAAAAGAAGGTTCTGTGTTCTCGTGCGCACACGCGCGCTGAGCGTCACTGGATGCTTTGACACTTGTCATGTGCATCAAACATCCGAGATGGTTCCAGGATCAGGCTTGACGAAGGACTGCAGGATAATTTGCAGGAACTCCCTCAGACTCCTCAGACTGTCATTCTCGGGCCGGGCCGGGCCGGGCTGCCGGCTTTTGCGCCGACGGCTTTGCCCAACTCCACGGCCATGGAGCCCATGCCGCCCCCGGCCCCGGTGACCTCAAAAGCAAAGTGGAGCACCCTCACCTTCTTTGGTGCAAGAGTCGGAGCACACTTTGCTCTGCTGCTGAGCTTGACGGCCAACAGCCACTCTCCGGCTTTCAGCCGCCCTCGGGTCACGAGGCCATGGTAGCCTCGTCGTGGCCATCTTCTTTTCTTCTTCTCCCTCTTCTTCCAAATCTTCTTCTTAGTCCGGACTCCCTCGTGCACGCCAGTTGTAGAGGACAGGGGAGCGACCCCTGCCCTCGCGTCAGAGTGACCTCCTATACTGTATATACTTTTTGTGGGGCAATTATAGAGAAGCACAAGGAAGAATGCCAGGTCTCACCAACAGGACAGCAGGAGCATCCACTAAAGACAATAGGCTACAGGGCTTCCTCACGACTGGCCGGGCCTGTCATGTAGCCCATGTGAAAGCTGGCCTCGGAAGCTCCGACTACATGGGACCAGCACTGCCGGCACCGCCGCTTCCCGGAGCCAAGGGGCCGGGCCCCTTGGCTGAAGGAGAGCGTGTCCGGCATCTTGATGCACATCTCAGAAAAACGCCAAAGCTTTCTTTGGAGAGTGCGTCTGAGATGCACGGAGCTCCATGCTCTTCAGCTTCGGGCCTGTGCCGGTAGCACGAGCTCTTCTGCAGCACAGCCTCCCATGGTGGCCTGGGCATCTCTCCGCCAGATGCACACTCCTGAAGAGTGCAATTTGAGTTAAGAGTGTGGCATAGAAGACCTTGTCGCCCACGGACAAGCCACTGACCTCGCCAGGCGATCTGCCGAATCCCCGCCGAGAAGAGCCGAAGGAGCGGCCTTGGATCCGGTCTCTGCCACAACGCCCGCACCTGTGCACGCCAGTGCACGCCCGCTTGCGCTGTCGAAAAATGCAGAACCCTGGCCCCAGCCCGCCTTCCGTGCACCTGCAGGCGCAGGAAGGGGTTCAGCTTAGAAGCACCCTCAAAGAGACTCCAGGAATCCCGCAGTACGAAGGGCAACTTGGGCTTGTATTGGTACCTGCGAAGATCGTACGAGTAATTTGATACGGCGTCTTTCCGGCTCAGGCCAAGTGCAGGCCTACGGTGCGCACTTGTTCTGCATCATCAGTAGCTCGGGAAAGTTTAGGGAAGCCGCTCTGGCAGAAATCCGCACCTGCGGCGGGGAACTTCCAAAGCTGGAAAGCGACGAGGACCTGGCCTCCTGATCGCCCAGCTGTGCTTTGCGAGGAAGCTCGCGCAGAACTGCTGCCTGCATTGCTTCAGAACACACGTCTTGCTTTCGTTGCTTTTGTACTACTGCTGCTCCAGGCATGAACCGGCTGTGCCTCAATACCTTCCGACGCAGATGCCGAGATCTTCTCGCACATGACAGCCCTGACAAGGAGCATCGGAGACACTTGCAAAAAAATCTCTTCCGGCTCTTCCTGTCACGAGCCTGTAAGTTCCTTGCGCCATGTCTTCCGGCAGAACGGGCTTAATCCACAAAATTCTTCTCAAATGTTTACAAGGGTCATGACTCTACCTCTTGGTGCACTGGATGCCACTGACTCACTTGCTGCTCTTGGTCAACGCGGCTATCGGAGAAGCCGGCTAGCCGCTGAGCCCTCCAGGCCCAGAACAACGACCAGCTCAGGAAATATCCACCCGTTGGTTGCTGTCCACCTGGAGACTCCGGAGCCCCGCGCCCGCATGGGATTCCAGTCGACGTGGCCATTGGCCGCCAGCTAATTGAGGAGTCGCTCTTGGTGTCTTAGTGTGCCCGGTGACTTGCCCACCAACGTGCGAGTAAGTGCAGACTTCCGTTGCGTCGCTGGGCAGCGTTCATGGTGGTACTCCGACAGAGGTGCTGTAGCGGGCTGGCAGTCTTCGGAGCATGGCAGGTAAACGATCGCCAAAGATTGCCTGGGCCTCTGTGGGGTTTCCCCGAAAAACGCCTCAGTCTGCATTGGGCTCTTTGTCTTGTGCAACCAATCTTTGGTCACGAGCGTCTGCGTTTCACGCGAAGCTCCCCTCAGGCGACTCAGCTGGCTCTGGCTTCCGCTTTTCGGGAAGCATCGGGAAGCGCCGGGGTGAAATGATGCGATGCAGCAATGCAAGGGCCAACTGCCTAATCATCATCTTGTTCTGCCGCTTCGGGTGGGTTTACAAGGCAGCCGTGCCGAGGTTTATAGGCCCCTCGCTCTCAGGAAAGCAAGCCGTGCGTCTTGCAGGCTGGCATGTCTCCGTCCTCAGAGCGCGACGAAAAATAACCCAGCAGAGCTCGGCAAGCGCGGGTAGCGGATTCGCGGACTCGGCGGGCCGGAGCTTAGGCACGGTCCTTTGGGCAAGTGGTCACCGGGGCGATCGTGCTGCCCTCTCGGCTGGTCGCGATTTGCACTAACACCAGCTGCTGCGAAGGGGCGCTTCCGCCCTCGCCTCGAAGTGCAGGCCGCAGATCTGCCTCCCGCGCGGCACGGGGAAGCGCAGGGACCCGAAGGCCTTTCGCATGTGCACCAGAAGCAGATCGGGAACACAAGGTCTGAGAGTCTGAGTCTGCGGCCTTGAAGATGCTTGCGAACGAGGTGTAGCATGCAGTGGAAGCGCCCAGGAAGGCATCCCGAGCCAACTGGCAAACAAGCACAACAAAGACTCGTGATCGTAACATCACTGTTCCGTCTGCCTGCCCAAACCTGAAACAGGCCACAGCCACATGCCCACGCCACAACACGCAACCCCATGTGCGATGCCTTGTGGACAGCACGGCCCACACGGCCACCCACAGATGCCACGGCCGCGGGCTCCTTACCGATTACCAAACACCGAGCTTCACGTATGCATGAACGAACACTTTCCTGCGTTCTGCGAAAGCTGCGGATGATGCTGCTGCTGCTGCTGCTGATCATGCTGCGAAGCGTTGGTGGCAGTCGTTGTATCAAGTGCCTACCACCGAGCCCCGGCGGTGCTTAGTCATTTTTTGGGTGAAGGGGCTTTCTCAAAAGGGTACTTCTGGTAGTTGGATACCCATACGATAAAATACAAAAACATTCAGAAACATATGCAAACCCTCGAAATCATACGATAAAGTTCGTTTTTAATTCAAACCAGATTTGTTTTTGTTTTGATTTCTGTGATTTTTTGACTGACGGGGGGCGGATATTTGTATTTTTTCGTTTTTTTTGAAGTTTATTGAATTTTTCTGATCTTTTGTGTCTTATCATGAATGTTTCTGAATGTTTCCGAATGATTATTTATTTGGACTCGTGTGCCACGCGAGCACTCCTTTTTTGACCGAGGCAGCGGTCATGATCAGCGCACCGTGGACATGCCACAGCACGGGTGAAAAGCCAGGGGGCCTACGAGGGCCGGACGTCTCCTGGCATCTCTAGGCCTTTCCTCACCTGCGGGTGGTAGGCCATGGTAAAAGGTGAAACTGCACCGCGGTGCGCCTCCCTACTGCACCGCGGTGCGGGGAGGGCACGGGCGGGAAACCAAAAGCTACGCGCGCATGACGTCCAAAGCAAATGTCATGCAAGGTGCGCGCCGTAGGTGCTCCTACTGCATGACAACGGCCCATTGGACTCGTGTGCCACGCGAGCACTCCTTTTTTGACCGAGGCAGCGGTCATGATCAGCGCACCGTGGACATGCCACAGCACGGGTGAAAAGCCAGGGGGCCTACGAGGGCCGGACGTCTCCTGGCATCTCTAGGCCTTTCCTCACCCGCGGGTGGTAGGCCATGGTAAAAGGTGAAACTGCACCGCGGTGCGCCTCCCAACTTAAAAGCGCTCCCCACTAAAAGTGAGCGAGAGCGATTGCCTTCCTCGCGCAGCGTTACGGCTTCAAGAGAAGCTGGCGGCACTGCTGCACGAAGTGAGGGAGGCGAGGGAGGGCAGAAACAGTAAGCTGTTGCTGCACCAGCAGTGCGCGGGCTTCATCAAGGTAGATGCGGCAGGTTTTTTGATCCTGCCATCTTCCCATAATCATGGTAGCTTCAAAATTCTGTGAGGTTTGCCAGTGAAAAGTGGCACCTCCTCGGCGAAGGCCGTAGGGAAGGAAGGTGCCTTCTTCCAGCCCCAGGAAGACTACCAGTTTCTGGAACCTTGCCCGAAAAGCTTGCATCGAAGAGTTAATTATGGATCGATCAGTTGACCACGACGCCATAGCTGCAGGCAGCACCCGGCACAAAAAAGGGTCAAAAAGTGAGACGCTCTGCGCTCTCCCGCGGGAGGTTTTAGTGTGTGGCAAGGCTACCACCACGTGTCCCGAGCGCAGGCAGGAAACGTCCCTGGGCCGCAGCCCGTATATTTCAGTAGTACGAAGAAAAAAGAGAAACTGGATGAGAAGTGCCACTGCCAGCCGTTTTTGGCCAGCGGCAAGGGCAGCTCCTGCCATAGCTTGGACCATGGACCACGGGACTGGCGTGGCTCGGCAGGGCTTGTACACTTTCATCCAGTTGGAGTAAAGTTGCGTGGCAGTATAAAGTCTCGACCGCAGTCGGGGGAGGAACCGTTTAAGGGCTGAACAGCAGCCCCAGCATACCCGGGTGAGTCCCCCTCTTGGAAGGATTCATTCATGAATTCCCCAAGCGCCGAGTCAAGGGCTTTCACGGAATTGGGCAGCTCAAGATCCTCCCTTGCAAGAAAGGCAAAAAAGCGGAGCAGGGCACGGCGGTAGTTGGCTCGGGATTTGGGGTTCAGACCTTGGAACCTAAGGTGGAGCTTAGGAGCCATGGTGAGGGGCAAACCTCCTGGACGCAGTATCGGCAAAGTTCCACGCCGAAATGGTCCATAGCGCCAGCGTTTGCAGTTGCGCCGCCAACTGTGTCGCCATCATCCGTCGAGCCAACCTTATAAGTGATTCATCTAGGCCCGGGGGGCGTTAACCCTTGCTGCAAACGGGGTCGAAATAAAAAAAGGTTATGAACCGTTTTAGAAAAATTGCATTCGTTCTAATAGGGTTTAAACCGTTCACTCAAAAGCTGCGTTTTCCCAACCAAAAAAAACACGTCCCCTTGAAACAAAATCGGTCCTTTTCTGGTAGCACGCACAAGCCCTCGCCAGTCCAAAACCCTCCCTAACAAGTCCCATAACACATCCCTATTACCGTTCAGAAACTACACAAGCTCAGGTCCTCTTTTTCCACTGTTCCGACACTCACGCTCGGAGCACCTGGTTTCTGTAGTCCCCTGCATTCCCCTGCCTTTCTAGCCGTATACATACTACCCATGAGCCTCTTTCTTCAAGGCGGCTGGCACTGGGCGCATCGCGAAGCCTTCGCGGTAGCACCCTGAGCCTGCTGCCCTGAATGAAAAGTCTGCGGCCCGTGGCCAAAAACTGCATTGGCTGAAAAAGCTCCCCAGCAGCCAGGACGGCAACAGAAACTTCAAGGCCAAGCCTCAGGAACTGCTTCTCAGCATTGATCGTCGTCGTCATCAAAATTAAGATCCAAAAGCTCGTCAAGCTCTTCGCGGGCAGAACGCATCACCCTCAAGTCAGCGATCATCTTCGCATGCTTCTCAGCCAGAAGATTGTTTTTTTCCTCCATCACTTGCACCAGCTGCTGTGCTAACTCCGCGGCTTTGGAGTGCAGAGTTCTGTTCAGTTCCTGCAGCTCACTCACCTTCGACTGGGAGGCTTCTAGCTGTTCTTGCAAGGACTTTTCTGAGGACTTCTCAGCCACCTCATTGCGGGGTTTCGGTTTTGGGCTTGGGTCCTCGTTGATATTCACGATAGTAGGCGGCGGATACAGCTCTACCTGGGTGTCTGGAAAATCGCCTTCCCATTCCAGGCATGCATTCTTGCGCTTCAGGCCAGTCTGGTGCACTGCAGTAGAACTAGCAGCAGGCACAACCGGTGAAGCCAACGTGCGCCCCGCTGCCCAAGTCCCTGGATCAACCTGGCTGTCGAACAGCACAGAGTCGTTGTCCAGCATCACTTGGCTATCGAACAAACGTTGGCTGGACATCCTGAAAGGCACACCGCTCAACACCGAAACTGACAGAGCTTAACTTCTGCGGTTCATGAAATGCAGCAGTACAGCAAATGCTCTCCCCTGTCCCATCCTAGATGATATTAATGCATAAACCTTGGGTGGGACCTCGGGACACAGACCTCAGGACACACAACCCCGGACATGCCCCGGACATCCCGGACATGCCCCGGACATGCCCCGGACATGCCCCGGACATCCCGGACACCACCCCGGACACCACTCCGGACATCCCGGACACCCCCTCCGGAACATCCCGAACACAACCCCGTCCCCCCCCCCGAAACTCCTGACATAACCCCGGACACCCAGGACTCCCTACGGCCCTACGGCTTTGGCCCACAACTTTTTTGTTTGTGGGTTGTCTGAGAGCAGATTGTTGACAGGTGAATCGATACATCCCTTTGCAAGCTTCAAAAGTGAAGCTTGGCTGACAGGGAACCCGGTGACACTGTGCACAGTAACACCCTGAGAAACCCGACCTCAACAGTAAGCACGAGTGTGTACCCAAACCGCTTCTCCAGAGCCTACAGCTTCAGATACTGCTGAGGTCTGTACTTGTCCTAGTCCTAAGGCTCTGCTCTCAGACGCTGATCCCACTATTCTCCCGCACGTCTTGGTGTCAGTTGTATCTTCCCAGGATTCGGAAAAAGGCAAGAATGGGTTAGCTGCAAAAGCAGCAGCCCACAGTGTAGCTGCCAAGCAGCACCCCTGCCAAAGGGATAGCTGCGAAGCAGCACCCTTGCCGATGGGTTAGCTGCAAAAGCAGCAGCCCACAGGATAGCACCCCTGCCGAAGGGATAGCTGCGAAGCAGCACCCCTGCCGAAAACAACTGTTAAAAACCGCACCCCGATGAGATGGGGTTGCGGGGAGCAGGCAAGTGGGTAGCCAACAGTGGCAGCCACGAAGCCAAGGTGAATGATCCATAAGGTCACAGGTTAGCAGCAGAAGCTGCAGCCTGGACGCTAAGGATGCCGCACAGTTCACCTCTCGCGGATCCACTTCAGCAGCTGGCCGGTTCTTTTGGACTCCAGTGTCGGGTCCTGTTGGACCTGCCTCTCCAGGTGAGTGAGAGCCGTCTGGAGGCTTTTGTCAGACACGATGTGAATCCTGGCTCCGTGGCAGGTCTCAGGTCCCTGCAGGCTCAGATGAACGAACAAACAATTCGTGGGCAGCACGACTCCCCTCCCAGGGTGGCATGTCACACACCAGCCATCCCGCTCAACTGCCGTGAGGAACTCTTCTGCACGCATCCGCTCCAGGTGCTGCAGCATCTCGGCCGTCGTGTTGCCGGCTAGCTTCTTCACGGGGAACCCCAAGTAGATCTCCTTGCCTTCGCAGCAGATGCGCAATTCGGGCAAGCCCCAGTCAGTGGACATCGAGAGGCGGCCGGAGTCCCCGGCCATCTGGTAAAAGTACAACTGCCAGATCTCTTGCAGCTCCTTGCTCGAGGGTCGTGCCACGGAACGCAGTGGCACCGGCAGGATCTGGTCCAGCTGCTGCAAGAAGGGCCTGGCCACATTGTCTCTGGTGACCACCGCACACGAATACTTCTGGCTGCTCCTCAGCAGCATCTGCTCCACCCACTTCTTTTGCTCGCTGTAATACTCGTGCCGGGTCACATCCCGGGTAAAGCCTTCCATCGGCGTTGGTGGGAGCAGAAGGGGCACTGTCATCTCATCCTCTGGCTCCGTTGCGCAGTTGATGATTTCATCGGGAAGCGGGTTCTCCTTGAGGTGCTTCAACAGATTGACCACCAAGGCGGGGGTCTCGGCAGCTGCCTGGCTGTTCGGATGATCAAGCTTGGCCTTCTTGTTCGAACCCCTCACTGTCGCCTTCGCGGCCAGCTTGTCCCGCTTCTTCACCTCCTTCTTGCAGTCTGAGGTGAATTCGCGGAAGTTTTTAATCTGCTGCTTCGTGTCCAACACTGCCTGGCAGTGCTTGCCAAGGTGCCACTCCTTCATGTAGGCTGCCAGATCCTTCTCCATTGACACCATGGCTTCGATGTCAAGGCTTTCGTCACCAGCCTTGGTGTTCCATTCTGCGATGGACTCCTCCATGGCAGTCTCCAGGTCCTTGATCTTGCCATTCAGCACTTTCGTCTTTTCCTCGGCTTCTCTCTTCACGGGGACGTCTGACATGCACAAAGCATTCGTCAAGTCCTTGCACAAGGTGTCTGCTGTGGCCTTCTGACGCTTCAACAGCTCGGACATCGAAGCATTTGCCTTGTGGATAGCGTTGGTGAGGCTGAGCTTTGCCACTGCCAAGGAGGGAAGCTGGGTTGCTTGCTTCTCCTTCAACTCTTTCCTCTTTTGATCAGCTTTCTCCTTGAGTGCCAAGGCTTGCTGCTGAAATTCAGCAGCTCTGTTCTCAGCAACTTCCTTCTCTTGCTCCAAATCTCGTCGCACCGCGACGGCCGGAACGTAGGCCTGCTTGCCCTGCTGCTCTGACAGAAGCCGCTCTGTTTGGAGCTTGTCAGAAGCACGTTTCATGCGAGGTCCGATTTCCTCTTCGAAACCATCAAGCTGCTCGCCATCGCCAAGGTCAGTCCGCTGCCGCACGGATGCTGCAACGGTATGGCGGTCCACGACATTTTCCAGACCTCCGTTGTTGACCCGGAGGCAGAGTTCCCCGTTGATCTCCTTGGTCACAACGTCCGGATCTGTGCAGCGCTGCTCGTAGGCTACCATAGCATCCTCCAAGGTACTGTACTGCTTCAGGATCATTTCCCGTGCGCACCAGTCGCGGGGGGTCATGTATCGTGAGCCGCTGCAATCTTCGTTCCCAGTCTGGCGAGTCTCTTCCAAGGCCCCCACTGCCGTTGCGAAGGTCCTGCGGCTTTTCTTTGACTCGGTTGCCCGCTTCCGTTTCTCTTGGCGGTACCACTGGGCACGCTCCGAGGAACCCATCTTGGCCACGCTTCCCCTCAGGGCCTCAGCGCTTTTTCGAGCTTTCTTGGCCTCCTCGCTTTCTTTGGCTTCTTCGGCAGAGCCCTTCTTCGGTGCTTTAGCCATCCGAGAGAGGCACCGGTCTGTGGACGAACAGCAGGAGCAGATCCGCCTCAAGCAGTTCCTTCCAGTTGGGTAGCTCGTCAAGATGCTTGTCTCTTCCTCACACCTGATGCACATGATGCTCTGAGGCATCTCCTGGTCCGGGGCATCTGTCATGCTTGCTGCGGGGCAGGGGAGCACGAGTGTGGGAGCTGAGGGGCTTGTGGAGCCAAACAAATCGCTGCAGAATGAGATATCAAAGACACAAAAACAAGAACCCTGAGTTCAATGGCTGTCATCAGGGAACTACCCGGCAAGCTTACTCAGCGAACACAGAAGGGTTATCGGAAGACTGTTTTGCACTATTCTCAAGCTTGCTGTGTGCACACACACACACACACACACATCTGCTCATCCACCTACCATCCTAGCAGGTCCTATCTACGAACAGGCAGACCGCCACCATGGCAACCGACACCGCTTAGAAGCGCTAGTCGGAATCCGAGAGGTGGATCGCTTCTTTTGGCAGGTTCAAGTGAGGTGGGAAACGCAGCTTGCGCTGAGCATTCTCTGGCATGTCTCGCCCTGAGCTAGTAGAACGCCTCCGTCTGTCGCCAACCTTGCTTCCGGAGCTTTGTGCTGGCTCAGATTCGTTCTTGGAGCTCTTGCTTGCTGGCGAGAGCCAGTTTTTGGATGAAGCTTTGGCTTTAGCCAAACACTCGAAGAGGTGTGTTGCTTTCTCACTCAGGACGAGTGGACTCTGTGGCGCAGCATCATCAACGTCCATGCCCGGATCATCATCCGAAAAAAGCTCGTCAACCAGTCGCTCAAGCTCTAGCTCCAAGTCATCGGACTGGTGACGTGGTAAGTCCTGGGTGCTGCCTTCTGGCTGGTGACGTGGTAAGTCCTGGGTGCTGCCTTCTGGCTGGTGACGTGGTAAGTCCTGGGTGCCATCTAAACCAGCTGTGCTGGTGTCACGAGGCAGAGTCTTTGGGGCTTCCTCTTCAGCTGAAGCCTCCGGCTTTGTGCTGGTGTCACGAGGCAGAGTCTTTGGGTTGAGGGTGTTCTCTACCATCATTTACTATGGGATTTGCGCTACCCACCCTGGGCCCTCAGTTTCCGCTCCGTTACAGCTCCGTTACAGCTTCCGTTACAGCTCCGTTGCAGGTCCGTTACAGCTCTGTTGCAGGTCCGTTACAGCTCCGTTACAGCTCCGTTACAGCTTCCGTTACAGCTCTGTTGCAGGTCCGTTACAGCTCCGTTGCAGGTCCGTTACAGCCCCGCTACAGCTTCTGCTACAGCTCCGTTACAGCTCCGTTACAGCTTCCGTTACAGCTCCGTTGCAGGTCCGTTGCAGCTCCGTTGCAGGTCCGTTACAGCTCCGTTACAGCTTCTGCTACAGCTCCGTTACAGCTCCGTTACAGCTTCCGTTGCAGCTCCGTTACAGCTCCGTTGCAGGTCCGCTACAGCTCCGTTACAGCTTCTGCTACAGCTCCGCTACAGCTCCGATACAGCTTCCGTTACAGCTCCGTTGCAGGTCCGCTACAGCTCCGCGACAAATCCGTTACGGCTCCGTTGCAGGTCCGTTACAGCTCCGCTACAGCATTCTGCTACAGCTCCGTTACAGTTCCGTTACAGTCCGTTACAGCTTCCGTTACAGCTCCGTTGCAGGTCCGTTACAGCTCCGTTGCAGGTCCGTTACAGCCCCGCTACAGCTTCCGTTACAGCTCCGTTACAGCTCCGTTACAGCTTCCGTTACAGCTCCGTTGCAGGTCCGTTACAGCTCCGTTGCAGGTCCGTTACAGCTCCGTTACAGCTCCGTTACAGCTTCCGTTACAGCTCCGTTGCAATTCCGTTACAGCTCCGTTGCAGGTCCGTTACAGCTCCGTTACAGCTTCCGTTACAGCTCCGTTACAGCTCCGTTACAGCTTCCGTTACAGCTCCGTTGCAGGTCCGTTACAGCTCCGTTGCAGGTCCGTTACAGCTCCGTTACAGCTTCTGCTACAGCTCCGTTACAGCTCCGTTACAGCTTCCGTTACAGCTCCGTTGCAGGTCCGCTACAGCTCCATTACAGCTTCTGCTACAGCTCCGCTACAGCTCCGTTACAGCTTCCGTTACAGCTCCGTTGCAGGTCCGTTACAGCTCCGCGACAAATCCGTTACAGCTCCACTACGTTCCGTTACAGTTTCTGTTGTAAGCCCGTTGCCGGCACGGAGTCGCCAGGGTTTCTGTCATAGTAGAGGCCTACAAATGATGGTAGAGAACACCCCCAAGTCTTTGGGGCTTCCTCTTCAGCTGAAGCCTCCGGCTTTGTGCTGGTGTCACGGTCACGAGGCAGAGTCTTTGGGGCTTCCTCTTCAGCTGAAGCCTCTGGCTTTGTGCTGGTGTCACGAGGCAGAGTCTTTGGGGCTTCCTCTTCAGCTGAAGCCTCTGGCTTTGCGCTGGTGTCACGAGGCAGAGTCTTTGGAGCTTCCTCTTCAGTTGGAGCCCTTGGCTTTCGAACCCTGTTGGCCTTGGGGTTGCGAGTCTTTGGGGTTACCTCTTCAGTTGAAACCTTTGGCTTTGTAGCTGTTTTGGCCTTCGGGGTTCGGGTCTTTGGGCTTGCCTCTTCAGTTGAAGCCTTCGGCTTTGCACTGCTTTTGGCCCTCGGTTTTCGAGTCTTTTGTGTTGCCTCTTCAACTGCAGCCTTTGGTTTGGAACCTTTTGTGGCGCTTGGCCTCGGGGTCTCTTCAAGGATACAAGCTGCTGATGTACCCGGTGGCTTCGTGTGCGGCAGAAGCTCCACTGCGCAGGCTTTGCAACGGTTGCCTGCAGTGAGCACGCCAGAGTTGACCGCTGCCTCCACGAGCGGCGAGGCAACAGCGGCCAGCTGCACTGGCGAGAGAGCGTTCCCGATCGCATGCAGGGCATGGGTGTCTCTCGAGAACAAGGCCGCGTGGCTTGCACGCTGCCCCAGAGCGCTGCACCGCTCAGCGATGCTGAGCCACCTGTGCAGTCGCATGACCTGCCATGGCCTCGACAAGTCCTCGCAACTCAGAAGAAACAAAGGTGGCCCCGTGGTCCTCAGTGATGGGATCTTGCGCCAACCCCACTTCCCGCCGAAAGTTCTCAAGGGGTTTCGGTCGAGCTCCACAACAACCGAGTTCGAGGGCAGCGGCTTGCCTTGGGCACGATGCTCTTCGATGCACTGAGATATGGTCTGCTTGTACAATGCGAGGTTAGCAGCGTGCCCTGCACACAAACTCTGCACATCGGTCGCAGCCAAGCTCAGATCCAAAATCTCGTCCACTGTGACTGCCGGGAGCAGATCCGTGCAGCACAGGGGGGCAGGGAGGAACGCCTGCATGGGGTCTGGCAGGCAGTCTCTCCTTAGCCCTCTGATGAAAAAACGACCTCTCTTGACTGGCAGAAACTCCGCAGCATCCTTTTTCACGGTGTCTACCAAAAAATATGGCAGTGACACTTCAAGTCTCAAGAGCATCTCATTCAGAAACTCAGCATGGTTGGCATCAGCCAAATGTGAGCTGTTTTCCAGAATGAAAAACAGAAGACAGCCACGCGAGCCTTCCTCACATATCATGCTTACAACTGATTCAAAAACATCTGTGCGGCCTTTTTCGTCCTGGGCGCCCTGCCTTAAACCTGTGGAGGCAAAAGGCTGACAAGGGGGCCCGCTTATCAAGCCTTCCGCACTTGACAGTTTTGACAGCACGACATTCCTCTCGATGTCCCCTTCTTGCAAACCCAGTTTGACTTCCGAAGTCCCCTGCAAACCCTGGTTTCGCAGAGCTCGCCAAAACGGCACCAAGTCCATGTTGAAATCGTAGGCTGCGCATGGCCTGTAAACAAGCCCTGCTTTCTGCATCCACTCTCGATAAGCAGAGATGCCTACACAGGGCTCAGCAACCACAGGTGCACGCCCCAGCTTTGAGCTCCAAGGACTCATCGCATACGCGCACGTTCACTCGCAATCCTCTCCAAGGTTGCTCGACTGTACAAAAGACGTTCCTGCACTTTACCTAGATCACCACAGAAACAAAAAGGGCTGTGCCACGGTTCCTGTGTCCTGCTGCTTCTTTCCTCGGCTCTCTGGCCTCAGTACTGCTCGTGGTTCCCTTTGCTTCACTGGAAGTTCACTTTGCCTTCCTCTTCGCTGTCTTTAGCTTCCTCTTGGTCGTGAAGCTGTTCCTTTAGCCACTCTTCTTTCATCTTTGCTTGCGCTTTGCACTTTTCCTTTCCTTGCTTGTCCTTTGACGCTGCTTTCCAACCTGTTTCCTTTGATCCTGAATACCAGTACCACTGTGCCTTGGCTTCGTTCCACTTCCACTGGTATTTCCTGTTCTGGAAACTGTAGACTGCAAACCAGTTTCCTTCAAACTCTCCTTTTCCTTTTCCTTTCATGAACGATGCTTCGTTCACTGGTCCTTTGGCGGACAGTTCTGGGTCGTCCTTGTCTTCTTCCTTCTGCTTGTGCTGTGTGACGTTCGGTGGCTCCTTTCCTGTTGCTTTTCCTGTTCCTTTTGCTTCTGGCTTCTCCTCTTCCTTTGCTGGTGTTGTGTCTGGCTCTGTGGGTGCCTGCGACCCGGCTGCTGATCCTCTGCTCTCAAGCTCCTGTGTAAGGCTTGCAATCCTTTCTTTATCTTCTTTGCGTTCCTTCATCATCTCCTTCATCATCTCTTCAAGCTTCTGGATCCTGTCTCCTTCACCTGATCCTGTTGCTGTTGTTGCTGCTGCCTTCTTTTCTGCTTCCTTCTTGGCAATGTACGCTGACGCTGCCTTTTGATCTTCTTCTCTTTTCTTCCTGGCTTCCTTCTCCTTTCTTTTCTTCTCCTGCTCCTTTCTTTCCTTTTCCTCTTTGGCTGCTGCGGCTGCTGCTTTCTCCTCTGCCTCCTTTGCTGCTGCCGCTTCGGTCTCCTCTTTTTCCTTTGCTTCTCTCTCTGCTTTGGCTTTGGCTGCTGCTTCTACCTCTCGCCTTCTCTCGGCGGCTGCGGCTGCTTCCTGCCTTGCTGCTTCCTTGTCTCTCTTCTCCTGCTCGTCTGCTGCCGCTTCCAGAATCAACCTTGCTTTGGCAATCTGCTCCTCTTTTGCCTTCTTCTCCTCTTCTGCTTTTGCTTTTGCTTCTCTTTGTTCCTTTGAGATCCTGTCCTGTTCTTCCCAGTATTTGCGATCATCTTCATCTCGAGGTCGAAATCCTGTGCTTTCTGCTCTTGCCTTTGGCTTTCCTTTTCCTTTTCCTTCCTTCTTTCCTTTTGTTCCCTTCTCGTGCTTGTACGTGTAGTCCTTGTCGACCCACTGCTTTTCTCCTGTAACTCTGTGTTGCCTGTAGATCTCGCCGTTCTCGGAGTATTCCTTCCATTCGCTGGCGTAGTCGTAGGGGTACGGAAAGAGCTTCTTCTCCTCTTCCTTTTCCTTGAGCCTTTGCTTGCTTTTGGCGTTGATCTCCGCGATCTTCTTCTTTCTTCTCTCTTCCTTTGCTTCCTCACTTTCTTCTTCCTCTGCTGCTGCTGCTGTTCCTTCATCGGGGTACTCCCCGGGATCTTCTCCTCCAACGTAGCTGCTGACGTAGGCCTCGTTCTCGTTCTCGTTGTCCTGCTCTCGTTCCTGGATGCCCTCGAAGTAGCCTCGGTCCGAATATTCCTTCCTTTCCTGGGACGTAGGTGACGTAGCTCTCGACGGTGCTGTTCCTTGTCCGTGTCCTTCACGACGTAGTTCACCTTCAACCCACTAAAAACAAAAGCTTGGCTTGAGAAAGAAAAGAAATCAGGATGATGGCTCCGGCTGTCTACGCTATTCTTGGAACTGGCTTTGCTCACTCTCAGTGACAAACTCAGGACTGATGTAAACATTTCCACCCACGGAAAAAGACAAGCAATCATGCAATGCAGTCTCTCAGTCAGGCAATTGGGTGGCACAGTCTACCCTTGCAATGCACTTGTTTCCATTTCCATGCAAGGCCTTGAGACAGGCAATCATGCAATCTCTGAGTCATGCAATTCGGCGACAGCATTCCACCGCAAACTCTTATTGTCGGCGACAGCATTCCACCGCAGACTCTTATTGTCGGCGACAGCATTCCACCGCAAACTCTTATTGTCGGGCTGACCCGAAAAAAAACCGCACTCAGATTCTGGACCCTTCCTTCCACCATTGCCACCACCAAGTGGTCCCATCATCTGTCTCCATTCGTTGACCCTTCCTTCCACCATTGCCACCACCAAATGGTCCCATCATCTGTCTCCATTCGTTTCCAGCACCACTTCCAAATGATAGTCGCAACCCTTTCCCCTCGCGGGGATCGGGATCGCTCGGATCGCTCCTGTGTGCTGCTGCCCGCCTGCGGCTGGGTCGCATCGGTCTCATGCACTGGAGAGTCACCTCGTTTGCGTTTGCCAGGCATACCCCTGGCGCTTTTTTTCTTTGCTGCTAACACAAACAAAGCCTCGAGAGAAAACGGCTGCTGTGCAAAGAGTTTAGAGGACGCAAAGGACATCATGAGACGTGGGCGGGACCGGGGCTGGGCGGAACTCGGGCGGGACAAGGGCGGGACATGGCGGGACGTGGGCGGGACATGGCGGGACATGGGCGGGACATGGCGGGACATGGGCGGGACATGGCGGGACATTGGCGGGACATGGGCGGGACACGGGCGGGACATGGGCGGGACATGGCGGGACACGGGCGGGACATGGGCGGGACATGGGCGGGACATGGCGGGACACGGGCGGGACATGGCGGGACACGGCGGGACATGGCGGGACACGGGCGGGACATGGCGGGACACGGGCGGGACATGGCGGGACATGGGCGGGACATGGCGGGACATGGGCGGGACATGGGCGGGACACCCAAAACGGCCCCAGACACCCTCGGGCCCCGCCCCGGACACCTTTCCCGGGCCCCGCCCCGGACATCCCGGACACAACCCCGGACATCCCGGACACGACCCCGGACATCCCGGACACGACCCCGGACATCCCGGACACGACCCCGACACGACCCCGGACACCCCGAACACGAGACCCCCAAACAGGTGCTAAATCCCCTGCAAACGCCTTGCAGAGCCCTCCCAGTGCCCCCAAAGCCCCCCCGAAGACCCCCAGGGCCGCCCCCTTGAGAATTCACTGTGTTTTCTGTGTTCTGTCCTCTTGTGGCCTTAAAACCCTTTATGAGTTCAACATGCCCGGCAAAAACAAAACTGAAACGAATCTTTTTTGGCACGACTGTGCTCGGCAGTGCTTGGTGAGTGGAACACTGGAGCTACTTCCGACTTGGCCTTTTCAGCTTCAGTTGTGCTTGGTGCCTAAGGGTTCAGGTTTCCGGCTAAAAGCTTAAAAGCTGTAGTAGCTGTATTTTGCTTGGTGCCTAAGGGTTCAGGTTTCCGGTTTCCGGCTAAAAGCTTAAAAGCTGTAGTAGCTGTAGCTTTGCTTGGGGCCTGAAGGCTTTCGTGAGCTAAGGGCGGGTGAAGGCCAGTCGGGCTCCTACCCTACGGCCTGGCTCTACGGCCTAGCTACCGCGGCCTAGCCTCCTCTGCGAGAGCCGAATCTTAGGGCTCTGGGTCCAGGATCGCACGGATCTTAGGACACCAGGCCCAGGATTCTTCCTCTCGCCCAAAAATCTTCGATGTTAGGACTGCTGCTGCTGCATGTCCAGCATCTTTGTGGTGGCATCGAAAAAGGCCAGCATCATCTGGGGGATCTGAGGGCTCTGGCTCTGACCCGCCACCATGGCCCGATCCCTTGGCGATGATTTGCTGCGGCCTAGCTGCCCTGTCGGCTCCTTCCGCGAATCGCGCCCACGGCGGCCGGAGCTTGCCGCAGGCTCGCTCGCCCTGCGGCTGCGGGAGCGGCCCGAGAAGCGTCGGTCCATGTGCTCGCTGCCGCGGGAGCTCTTGCGGCTCCCTCGAGAGCTTGCCTGGCCGCCGCCTTTGCGGCTCCCCCGAGAGCTTGCCTGGCCGCCGCCTCGAGAGCTTGCCTGGCCACGGCTCTGGCGGCTCTCACCACGGCTTCTCCGGCGCCCACGGCTGCCATCATCATCTCGGCTCTCTTCACGCCGCGGGCCACGTCTGTGCGGCGGCTCCTCCACACGCCCCCTGCTCCGCAGCTGAACCGGCGGCCTGTGCTGGCTCATGCTAGCCGCCCGGTCCTCCTTTGATGGCTGCTTCTTCCGCTTATTGTGCATGGCCTGCAAGCATTCCTTAGCCTCGTCAGAGTTCGGGTGCGTGCCCAGGCAGTGCTGCAGCATGTCCCACCTGCGCATGAACTGCCGTGAGCAGTATCTGCACTGGCACGCACCCGAGCTCGCCTGCTCTTCCGCAGGCTTTTGGCCGGCCAAATTTTGGCCGGCGGCGTGGAGCCGCCACTGGCGGCAGTATTCGCTGTTTTCCAGGTGGCTTTGCAGGCCTTCTTTCTTCACACACATCCAGCAGTGCTCGCAGCGAACGACATCTGCCTCGTCCGCTGAGTGCCGGCTGCGGTTCTTCCTCGCAGGCCGCGCTGCAGGCTCGCCCTCCGCCGCCTCCGCCTCCTTGTCTTCCTTGGGCTCCTTGGCCTTGCCGCTCTCGTTCTCGTCGGCCTGGGCCTCGTGTGCCTGCTTGGCCTCCTTGGCAGCGGGGGCTGCACGGGGCTTTTCTTTCTTGCTGGAGGACTCACTGTTGCCTCCGCTGGAAGAGCTGCTCTCCTTCTTCTTCTTGCGCTTCTGAGCAGCCTCCTCCTTTTTGCCACCCTTTTCTTCTTTCTTCTTCTCCTGGTCGTGGTCCACCACCACGATATCATCCTTCCGCGACTGGGAGTCCGGCTCCTTGTCCTCGTCCTTCTTAGCCGCCTCCTCCTCCTCAGACTCCTCGTCGTCATCCTCGCTGCTTAGGTCCACCTGGCCAGGATTTTTTTTCGGCGCCGGCATTGCTGCAGCCCCCGAGGGGTTAGCAGCAACACCGCCACCTGTGGCTGCACCGTGGGCTGCACCCGTGCCAGCAAAAGTGGCCGCCGCCGCCGGCGGATGCGGCGGCAACAGCGGCGGCCGGTGTGGGAGCTGCGCCTCGCCCCACTGGTTGTAGACCACCGGCACCCACCTGCGAGCAATTTTTTTTAAGGTGTTGGGGGTTTTGCTTTGCTTTTGAGAGGCTAATCTGTTCCAACAGACACCTGCAACTGCAACCTGGCTTGCTGCTACACCTATAGCGGGGACGCTAAACTGACTACTGTGCATCCTGTAGCTCCAGGGTAGCTTCGTGCAGCCCACAGACCAGGTAGCGTGCCGATCCAAAGTGCAGCCTGGGAAATGGGTAGCGTCGAAAACGCAGCCCGAAACCCAGGTGAGCACACGGTGGCCGCATCTGGCTCTGTGAGTTAGCAAGCTTCTTACTCTAGGGGCTTAAGGACTGCCTGGGTTTCAAAGCTTTGTAACTTTACAGGTTTCTCACCGCAAAGCTTTCGAGACTCGACTACACTTCTCCCTGCCGGCCTTCCGTAGTGGGAGAAATGCCAATGCATTGGCCCCTGCACAGCCCAAAGGAGCCGAAAGGGGCTGCGGGCAGTCACACATGCACGGGCAGTCACACATGCACACAGTGACCGAGGTACTCTTGCAGCAAACGGAAGCAGCACAGTCAGCCAACACGTGTCCTGCATCCAAACAATGCAACAAACTAAAAAAAAACCCTCAAACGTTCACTCTGACTGCCGTGTGTTGCATCAAGCGATCCGGAGCATCATGGCATCCACCTGCTCTTCACTTGGCTTGTCCGCAATGTGAGCTTCAGCTCTGCGGTGGTGAGCTGCTCGCATTTGCCAAGCAAGCAAAAAGGCAGCAGCCCGCCTGCGGCTGCCATGATGCCGTACAAACGTGTACAAGCGGCAGCCGCTGTGTGTCTCGCAAGCAACGAATGCTCGGAGCTGACCGCTGGAGTGTGTGAAATTGTCAAAATGCACTACCTGTGTCCTACCGCCTCCCAAGTCGATTTCTAGAGGAGCGACACGTCTACCACCGCTGGCCATGCTTGGCTGCGGCTCTTCTGCTTGCATGAGCTTTTCAGGCAGCTCTTGCACAAGCTCTTCTAACTCGGCATCATCAGCCTCTGGGTCAAGCTCCAGACCTGTAGCCGCATCTCTTGTCAAGCTGCGGCCAGCAGGTCTTTTTTTCTTCTGCGCGAACCGAGCATTGATTTCCTCTGCAGAAGCATCCCGCAAGCTGCTGAGATCGTCCTGATCCACCAAGAACTCATAATACTGCTGGGGGCCTTTCAAGTAAATGCCCGACAAGTTGCCGGGCTTTTCCCATATAAGCCGACTCAGCATCAAAGCTCTGAGGAAGGGGAGGCTGCAAACTAGAACGTCATCTGGAAGACGTTTCTCTCCCTGCTTGCGATGCCACGCTTCCCGGCCCAGCCCTGGCTCCCAGCCCAAGACAAACAACAAACGAATTAACTCCAACTTTGATCGGCCTGGCATCTGGCCTCGAGTCAAAGTCGTTTGGTCAAGCTCCCAAAGCAACAATGGCCGTGCCAGCACCAAGCTTGCACTGTAGGTCAACTTGCCCGTCAAGGCGACGGATACATCTGAGAACATATCAGTCTCGCAGATGACAAGACCTCGGTCACGCAAGCCTTCCAGTGCAACAGCATCGAAGTGTTCAAGGTCTGTGGCATACACAGCAGATTCAATGCCGATGGCCCTTGCTCGCAGCAACTCTTTGATAGCTTGCATTTCTCGGTCGCTACACGGAGCACCGTAGACCTGCAGCACCGCAGAGTCGTCCGCATTCTGCACGACATGGGCAGGGGGGTGCAGGATGTCGAGGGCATCTTCCACATGCGGATCCGGAGGCGGTCGACTCAACAAGCAGGCAGGATCGCTGTCTAAGACAATCTCTGGAAGTTTCTGCACTTGCGGCTCCTGCAGCAAACCTGGCTGCGTGGACTCGTCTCCCAGAGCCAAGGCCAGTTCCGCAGGCATAGCACGCCAGAGCAAACAGTTTGCACAAAAGGCTTTCAAGTTCTCTGCTGTGCACACCCGTGCCAAGTCGAGAACCTCGATCCGCACATTCGTGCACGCCACCCGCACATCTCCACCAAGGCCGTGCACGCCCTGGGAAACATCCACGTCGTGGAAACGCTGCACAACCACACAGCTGCGGCGGCCTAGCTTCGGGTCTGTGATGTGTGCAGCAGGTCGCGAAACACGAGCATCCGTTCTTGCTTCTGGCCTGGCATCCAGCACCGAGCAGAAAACCGAAGCACGATCACTTACCCGAGGGTGGACGTCGGCTCGCAGAATAGACAGCAGCACGTCGGTTCTGAAGGATGCGGCTGGGTCTTCACATCTCCGACCCCTGTCGACAAGTAGCTCAAAGACATGCGTGGACACACTGAAAAACACGCCCGTCGCCAAATGGCCTTTCAGCCAGTTCACTACCTGGTAGGAAGCACTCGGAAGCTTGAAGCTTCCGGCCAGTAACAAAGTCTGATCTCTCAAAGTTTGGCGGTAAACGGCATCAGCACGAACAGAGTCCTCGCAATCTTTGAAGTGGTCTTCCTCGCTATACCCGTACAAGCGGGAAAGCCTCTTTGGCGTCTCCATAAGTCGAACCTCTTCGTGAGTGAGCATGTGCTCCAGCAGGCTACTCCAAAGGCGCCTGCTGCGCCAATTTTTGACCAAGAAAGCGAGCTGTTTCTCATCTTCCAGCATCTCCAACACTTGATCTCTGCGCTTGCGGCTGCAGACAACTGCAGGCCCAGCCTTTGTGAGACCACGGTTTGCTGCAACCTTGACACCGACATGCTCTCTCTCCGTGTGTCGCTCGGACAAAGAAACAAAGGCATATTCCTGTACTCTCCAAAACAACGCTGGCCATCGATCAAGGGGCACGTCATCCTCCGAGTTCAGAAACTCTCGGAGCATGCGGCCTGTGTCGGTTGGTCCAAACAAAGCATGTGTAACAGAGTCTAGAGCGCCGACTTGGCCACTGGAGATCATGTTGTCAACGTTCTGAAGATGTGGCCGAAGAACCTTTTTCACTCGGCCCCAAGTCTCGCCCATATACCCCGCAAACGCTGCGGCAAACACCCATGGTACTTGCTGAGCATACGCAAGCTTTTGCTGGATAACGGCAACAAATACTTTGTTGCACGTGTCCGCCATGTGCGCCATCCGACTTGCAGTTTCACTAGAACGAGACAAGAGATGCGCAAGAACACTAATCTCGTTGTTTGTCATGGCATCTTGCAAAGCTCCCTGGAGATTACCAACCGCAAGCCAAGGCAAGCGCCTGCCTTTCCAACAACAGTTTATCTTTTCCCGGTTTTCTGGGTCTGTCAGCTGCTCCTGATGGCAGTGACAACCCTCGAAAAAGTGGGCCAGCCTGGTGGCCTCGGCAGAGAACTGATGCGTCCACACTGCCATGTCGAAATGGCACTCGTCTGCCAACGCTTCCGTCACAGCTCGAATTGTGACTGACGAGCTGTCCCCACCAAAAACAGCTGGGTTCCAATATTTCTTGAAGGTGGGATATAGAGGAACCCAAACCTTCAGCACTCTTGCGAGCGAATCCCACCTCCAGTCTAAGAGGTCATCCATCCGATGCAACAACCGTCTCTCCTCGGGGCTCGCATGCTTCATCATTCTCACAAGAATTACTTCTGAGTAACTCTTTTCTTTGCACACACGGGTGATGCTGTTCAACTGTTTCTCGAATTTTTGCCAGGTTTCAAGCTGCTTCAAGCTGAATTCCAGTGCGTTAAACACTATGTGTAGTGTTCCCGGTATGTGTAGAGCGGAATGAAAGAGCGGCAATTCACGAAAATCCTCCTGTATTGCCTCGCTCGCCAAAGCTTGAGCGCCCACAATACTCTGGACCTCAGAGCAACTGCGGACTGGAAACGATGCTATGCCTCGCTCCGTTCCTTGATCGCTTAAGAAGCCCCGAACTTCCGAACGATACGTCTCAAAGAGAGACGCACCACTCTCAACGGCAATCATATGTACCATCTTGCTTGCCTTCGAAGCTGTGCTTCCTTGTCCTCTCGCAATTGTTGTACACAACATCGAACGCCTCTGGTGTTCAAACCCTTTGAAAGGAGCTACATTTCCACCCGCATCCCTTGGAAGCTCGTCGGAACGATAGAGCAGCAACTCTTCTGTCGCACAAAAATAATCATAATTCGCTTGCGGGGAACTGTCAGGACTGATGTACCTGACAATTCGCAGCGACTTGTCTGCCCCACCACCTGGTGGGGCAAGGAACCGGCGAGACAAGGAATGCAAGGCATCAAGCTTTAGCAAGATATTCCGCACATGCCCATGCGACACTTTCATGTTGTCTGCCAGACCTAAACTATCTGGCACTAACATTCGAAGGACGGTGCGAACCACATCTTGAATGCCTACCGTTGAGCTGAGCTTGTAAGCGAGCTTTCCCAACAGGATTTCTTGCATGGCCGGCCTGCGCACTTTCTTCATCTCGCAGGAGGAAGAGGAACCACTGTCGGCACCATCACTGGGGCTTCCTTCTGCCGCAGCAGGAACGGTTCCGGGCAACTGGTGCCCCAAAGAAGTCACAAGCCCACCAGGAACCACGAACTCCTTGCCTATCTCCATCAAATGCTTCATGACAGTTGGTGGCAAGCGAACCATCCAGAAAGGACGCCCTAGGTAACGCCTCGCAGTGCCTACTTCAGGCTCCGCCGCCTGTCCGTCTGCAAAGCAAGTGTAAAGGCCCTGGCGATCTGCAACGGCTTCGAAGATGACGCTTGGCGCAGCAGCTTGAAAAACCCATTGCGCTTGCCCTGCAGGCAAAACCGCCAACCTGCCAGCCAAGGCGGGCATCGCAGGAACAGGAGTCACCGCACCCTGGTTAGCAGCTGCAGGTGCCCGGCACCAGGCACCTGCCACTGCAGCCTGGGCAGGCCCCAACTGGACAGCTGCCCTGAAACGAAAAAGAGACTTCAAACAGCACTTGAACATCTGGTTTCGGGTTGTCTGGTTCTGGAGGGACATCTGCTTAGCGGCGAAATCTCGATCGCGACGTTTCTGACGCCGAGCTCGCCAAGTATCTTGCTGCTGCAAGTGCTCTTGGGCACCCAACGGCTTGATGCATTTTCCCCCAAGCTCAGCAACACAAAACAAATAATTCCCTGCAGCAGCGGTGCCCAGAGATTCTGATTCGTCGCCACAGGTTTTCGCATACAGAAACAAAACCTCTGCACGGGAAGCATTTCGAAGTCTGTCCCTATATCGAACAGTCCGCAGGGCACCTGCAGACCTGGGAGCTGGGAGCTTCCTCGGCCTCTGACTCGGACTCTCTGTCCTCAAGCTCACCGTCCCCAGGATCTGGAAGCCTAAAGATGGCAGGCTCTGCCATAGCACTATGACACTACACAACGAAAAGATCTGGCTTATCTTGGCTTATCCAATGTAACACCTCAAGCAAGCTAGGCTATGCCTACTGCCTACGTCCTCTTGCAAGATTGGATGATAAGTTGTCAAGCTGTCACTGTCACGTGAGTCATGTGCCTGAACTGTGCTGCGATTCGGATTCCCAATTCCCAATCGAGTTTCGGCCCGGCGGCTGAGAAATCGCGGAATTCGAGTTCATAAAACAGCCGACAAAGTCAGGAAGATATGCTTGCTTGCGGTTTGCAGTTTGGGTTGGCTACATCACAAGTTGTAGGTTTGTAGCTTTCACGACGATTTTGTTCCAAAACGTGCCGCGTTTTCTTGGGAAGGGACGATACTTGTTTGGAGAGGCTGTTGTTCTTGCGCTGACTGATCGATGGAAAAATAATCAAACCCTACTACAACAAATCATTTTCAAGTCCAGGGCTTGGAACCCATGCTCCAAATGCCCTGAACCCTCTTGCGCGTCACGCCCCCCGGGCCTAGATGAATCACTTATAGCCAACCTGTTCAACCGCTTGCTGTGTGCCCTGCCCTTTGCCATGATGTGATACACGACCTGGGAATCAAGGATGTGAAAGAACCTTGTCCCCTGTGTGTTCAACTGCCGCGCACGGCGTCTGACCTCTGCTAGAGCTGCCAACATCTCTAGCGTGGTGATGTTGTCCTCGTTGTGCCAGGCGAAGGACAACGTGTTGCGCCATCTCCAGAGGTGCGCCGGGTAGGGCACCATCTTGAGGTTGTCTGGCTCCTCTGGTGCCACTCTGCAAAGCATCCTCCGCAGATGCTCCAGTGGGTCTTCCAAAATCTCCCGGGCAATGGGCGCAAGCACCTCAGATGCTGCCTCCGCCGCGGCGGGTGATCTGAGGCTCGAGGAAGCTCCACGAAGCTGCGCCATCAGCTGCCACTCCATGGTGCGATCAGTGAGCTTGCCTGGGATGAGAGGGCAGATCTCAGCCAGATCCCTCTTTATCGCCAACGCCATGGCGTCACAAAGGTCCCAGGGGAGGCGAAGCTCCTCGCAGCAGGCGAACCGAATCCGGCCTGTGCTGTCGTACCATGCCTTGTGCTCTTCTTCGTGGTCTCGGCACGCGGGCCGGTGCAAAGCTTTGTGGACTGCCGGGGAGTTGTGCAGCAGCTCCACCCAACGCTTGGGCCCACCAAAGCAGCACAAGGGAAACGATGTGGAGAAGATCCCCCTCAGCTCTTCTGCCTCCGGGAAGTACCAAAGGTAGGAGTCCCAGGGCTGACAGACGAAGCAGAGGAAGTTTTCCTCCACAGCCCGGGACAAGGACTTCAGGGCCCTCAGCGCGAGGGTGTTTGCCCTCCTCACTTCAAAGGCGGCAGCCTTGGAGAGACCGGCCACCCCAGTGAGGTGCCCTCCTGACCTGAGGGCTGGCGGGGCTTCCACCCATCTCCCACTCTGGAGTTGCACCTGCTCGCCACGGCCGAGCCCAAAGGTGTTGAAGGGCGGACTCCAAAACTTGGCCGCAACCAGCGGGTCCGCCTCCATCCTTTCCAGCTTCTCTTTCCCAGCCGGGCTCCAAAAGTCATCTTTGTCGTTGACGCTGGGCCCAAAGGCGGTGAGCACTGCCACCTTGTTCAGGGCCATGGCCTCAGTGAGAGGTTGCCCGGCTTCCGGAAAGAACTCAGCAAAGGTGGGACACAGATAGTTCCTTCTAGAACATCTGTGTTCCCTATGCTCGGCGATACACCAGGTGGAGCAGAAGGATCTCCCACAGGAAGCCGGACAGGCATAAAAGAGCCCGTGCGAGCCCCAAGACTCTTCTCCGCCGCAGCGGGCACAGACTCCAGGCTCATCCTCTTCCACTGGCGCAACAGTGGGCCTCCGGGCAGTCTGGGCAACGGCCGCTCCACCTCCTGAAACTGCGGGTCTGGGTCCACTGCCCCATCCTTGGCCCTTTCTATCAGACGGAAGATCTCCTGGAATACGGCGAAGAGCGGCCTCCGGAAAGCGGCCACAAAGGTCGCGATCCCAACCCATCTCCTTAGGGCAGCTTCCGACCAGGAGGCGGAAGCCAGGAGGCCCAAAGTGGCCAGCACCAGCTTCTCGGCTTTTTCGCCCGAGATCGTTCCTTTGTCCCCATCTAGCACCCCTCCTTGGATGCCCCCTCGTAGTGCTCCGGCGAGGGACTTGGAGGCGTTGAGGGGCAGACCCTTCACCTTGCAGGCTGCCCTGAAACGCTCATGCTCTGGACTGGCGACACCTTCTTCTACTGCACGCAGCGTGGTGTCGACCATCCGAACCTGGTCGAAGGAGTCAAGGTAAAGCACGGCTCCGCCCTTAGCGGGTATCTCCTTGACCTTCGAGATCTCCAGGCTTGCCGGTACCCCTGCCTTGTCAAACACAAGGTTCCTAAGCACCGCCTGCATGATGGTGACCGCGGAGCTCCACCCCATAGGGATGACCCTCAGCCCCGGCCTGACCCACTCCTCGTTGGAACCCATAATGTGCCCGGGCACCTTCTTGGCGTAGGAGAAATACGGGAGCCGGGTGTCCGGCATGCGGAACAAGTTGAAGGCCGAGGTGAGGTCCTCCGACTCTATCATCAGGGTCTGGCTGTCACCCAGGAGCAGCAGGCCAAGCTGGGCCACGTACGGGAGGAAATCCTGGTCTCCCGGGAGGGCCTCCAGGTACTCATTGATCGGCACGAAGTTGCTCATCGTGACTTCCTTGCCGCCGACCAGCTTCCTCTTCTCCACCGCCCCAGCACCATTCGTGATGAGGTGGCCTTGCGCGTCCCGGGGGACGGCGCTCTCGTCCACCGGCCCCATCATGTTGCGCTGGAAGGCCGCCGAGACAACCTTGTTCCATTCCTCCTGGGAGGCATGGACCTTACCCCTCTTGGAGGTCCTCGGCTGGTCGCTTCCCCTCTTGAAGTGAGGTTTCGGCGAGATCACTGCATGGAGGGCGTCACCCGTCAAAAAGTCAATGACGCTAGCAACCGCCGCCTCCCCAACATTGGGCCATGCACCGATCACCAGATCCGCTTGGATCTCCCCCACTCGCTCCACCATGTTGCCTTCATAGTCACGGGAGCGACTAGAGAGGATCTTCTCGGCCTCGGCCGGTCCTCCCAAAGGCAAGCCACGGCCCAAGCACCCGGCGCAGATCTTCGCGATCCCTTTCACCGCCTCTGCCTGCCGTGGGGTGACTTCTTCGGGCGGCGGCCAGCACACAGGGCTGATCCAACCACAGCAGTAGTGGAAGTTGAGGGCGTGCAGGGTAGTCTCCAGCACCACCTGGGAACAGTTCTCCACAACCTCAATGTTGCAGGTGGCATCCACATGGATTGGGAGCAGGTCATGTTCCTCAGCCACTTGCAAGCGGCGGTCCGCCGCCTTTTGGGTACGAAGCCCACCTGGGAGCAGTTTCTCGAGTGGTTCATGAATGAGGGCAGGCGGTTCCCTACTCCTCTTGGTTCGTTCTTCCGAAGGATGGAGGAGACCGAGGCAGCCCCCCCGAACCACTGCCCCTTGCCCCGGCCCCAGTTCCGCTGGCCTGCTTCCTTCACCTTGGTCTCCAGGGCCAGCTGCCTCGCCGCCATCACCGCCTCGTCTGTCTCCATCAGGAGACTTCCTTCCCGCGGCACCAGTTCCAGGAACTGTGCTTTCAGCCAGTGATCGTCGGCCAGCGATGCTTCGATCGCTTTCACTCTTTGCGCGAGAAGGTCTGCGGCGCGCCGCGCTTCCCCTTCGACCACCAGGTCCAGCGCCTTGCACAGGGTCTTGAGTTCCCGTAGAAGGCGAACTCCGACCTTTGCCCTGTACTCCGGCACCATGATCGTGAGGAGGTAGCTCGTCGCCACCGGTGGCGCTGGGTCTTCCCGGGCTGCAAAGTTTAGCGCCCCCCCGTCCCGTGCGAGCAGCATTCGCATCTTCTGCAGAAGACGAGCCGACAGCCGCCCCGGGTACCTCTCCGAGTACTCCAGGAGCTGCAGCTGACGGTCGCGAGACGAGGAGGCTTCGCGAAAAGACGAGTCTGATGAAGACCCATCTTCGCCCAGGTCGACCTTGACCCCGCCCCCAAAGGGACCTCGGTCTGCTTTGCGGCCCGCCTCTCTGGACCGACTCCTCTTCTTTTTCTTCTTTTTCTTCTTTTCCTTGGGAGAGCTCTGGTCCTCAGACCGTCTCCTTCTCGGGCTCCGGCCCCTTCTGGTCTCTGACTCAGAAGAGACGCTTTGGTGACCTCCCGGGTCCAGCCAGCGCCTCCGCTTCTTCTTGAGGGCGGCCTCCGCCTCCGCTGCTGGCCCTGAGTCTCTCTCCCGCGCACGGGGTTCTTTGGCGCGCCGCTCCGGGGAGCGATCTCGGCGATTTTTCCGAGCTCTGCGGCAAGCCCCGGAGGCTTCGCCTCCGCGCCAGGGGGGCCTCCATCTTAGATCTGCCGCCGCAGCGGGTTGGGTAAGCCATGGTGGCTGCAGGGAGGTCCCGAGCTCCGCAAGGGGAATGCTCCGTAGGGACTCAAAGTGGAACTCCATGTCGGGGTGCCCTTTTGATCCCCTGCAAGTGGCAGGAGACTTGGCACAGACGTGGAAGGAGAACCACCTTTGCTCCGAAGAGCCTTCTCCTTCATCCAGCCACCATTGCAGGTACCCGTCGGACACCGCGACGATGGTACCTGCAAACCATTCCCCATATCGGCCGGGGTTCTCCCGCTCCTCGATCCTCACCAACCCCATACCCTGTGGGTGGCGAGCGGAATCGAGGAGCTTAAGCTCCACATAGTCTCCGCGCGCAGCGGGTAGGGCATTCCATGCACCCTGGTCCTCTCTCGGGAGGAACCAGGGCCCAGGCATCCTACCCTACCTTTCCTACGCGGTCATGCTTAAACCAAAAGCTACGCGCGCATGACGTCCAAAGCAAATGTCATGCAAGGTGCGCGCCGTAGGTGCTCCTACTGCATGACAACGGCCCATTTTCGCATTTCCTGCATGTTTATTGTTGCTGGCTGGCTATTGAATGATTTGGAATGATTTCGTATGTTTCCCAATGCTCCCCGCAAGTGCCAGAAGGCCCTCTTTGGGAAGCACCCCTATCCTTAAGAAAGACTTAGGGCTGCTGCCGATGCTGCTGTACGACAAAACAAGGCAGACGGTGACAGCGACAACGACTAGTATGCTGAGATGCCGCTGCAGGGCCGAAGGATCTTGGCATCCTGGTCCCGCGCACGTGGAAGACCTACAGCTCCGGACGCACCGTCATGTGAAGCGAAGTTCATCGAAACTCCTATAGATCTTGCCACGTAGCTTGACAGACGGTGCACGGATGAGGCGCAGACCAGGACGGACTGAAGGGCCAGAAGGCCAAGCCCAGCCTCGGAATGAGTGCCATCATGCTACCATCCAACGACTAGCCACGGTTCAGAGTTGCTGTAGGGAGTGTAGGGTGACAAGAAACCCTCAACCCTATGCAGAGTGCACCTTCTCAACAAACGAACCGATGCCACGCCTTGATAATGGCTCTGCTGAGCTACCGCATTGCGAGATATTCGTGTACGGCAGTGCAAACGACAGGAAGGCTCGAAACGACATCAGAATCTCTGCATACGTATTCGCTTCAAACTCGCCCAGAAAGCCCGAAAGTCGCAAAGAGGACGCGCAGGAGTCTTGACAGCAAACATCATCCGTTCCCAAAGTCTTGGAGCACGGCAATCATGGGCCGCGCCGGCCTGGGCTTTCGACCGTCACGAGCGGTGCGCAGGAATTGCTGCCACCATAACACGGGGCACAGTGGCGTGACCTGGCTGAGCAGACGACGTCTGAGCCTGCACTTCCACCTGAGGCCGAGCTCTGGGTTTGGATTGTCACGCGGCCTGCTTAATTCGCATATTAAGTATATCTGAATATCTACGAGGTCCCCGGGCGACTCTCGGTAAAGGCTTTGCCCCCACCCCCACAACGGGTCCTGACTTCGAGGCTCGGGATGTCAGGCTCAAGACCGCACATGAATCATGAACTGATGCAGGAATGCATGCGCTGAAAAGCACACTACAGTAAACTTTCAAGGATGATCGAAATGCTAGTGTGCACAAGATCGAGCAGCACGAGAGGAAGGTAAATCCACCATCAATAGCCTGAAGCTTCCTACGAGTATCTGGTTCATAGTTTTGCGGTAAGGCTCGGACGATCACAGGCCCATAGGCAGCCAGGGTATGTGCCTTCGGGGTTTGGATGCGCTCGGGGCATGCCACAATCGATCTGATTGCTCATGCTGGAGCAAGATGGTTCAACACCCAGGCCTGCTGCCCTCCGCCCAGCCACATGGTCTGGCCAAAGCTCAGTGCACAAAGCTCTTTTCGAACATGTTGACTCCGCTTGAAGGCATTGGTAACGCAGTTTCTTCGTGACCACTCCAATGGACGATGATCTAAAAACCGTCGCTCTGGCAAGGGGCAGCGGGTAGCAGTCGCAAGCCGGCCTCGACGGTCGGAGCATCTGACCTTCAGAAGAGGCTCACCGTTGCTTGAAGCCGGGTCTGCTAGTACTATAGTAGTTCAGTGACCGAATCGCCGGTGGGGGTCACCACGAAGAGAAATGGGGCGGGAGTAAGCCAATTCGGAATGTCAAGACGTGGATCGCTCCCCGCATCCGGTCAGAAGCACCCGAGCTGCTGACCGGATTGTCAAGACCTTGCTCAGACATCGGCGGATAGACACGCAGCAGGAAAGACAACAGGATTTGCACAGCAAGCGCAGCTGCAGCATGCGCAGCTGCAGCATCCGCGGCCCTGCTAGATCCGGGCGCAACATCATGAGGAGAGGTGCCACCATCTATGTGACGGTGGCAAACCCAACTGGACCGAGTTGCTGCTGCTGTGCTCTGAGATTCTCTGAGCTCTTGATCGATAATCGACATGGAAGCTGCGAGTAAGGTCTGTGCCGTCCGCCGGGCCAGGCTCTGATGCCTGAGTTTTCCGAGGCCAACGATGCGCCGAGCCCCACGGAGCAAGCATGTTGCATGCCTTTCACGCGCTCGCACAAATGTGTCTTTGTGCGATGCTCGCTGTCCTACTTCCTGGGGGGGTCAGACATGGTCGGATTCGCACTTCTGCCACAACCGTGAAAGGAGGTCACATGCTGCCATTTGTTCAGTCCACTTGTGGACACTTCAGGGGAGTGCCACAGTGCGAAAGGTGGCCACAGAGTGCAAGACCCTGTGTGCTTCCTATGACGAGGTGGTTTGCATGCTCCCGTTTTGGACGCTCCATCGGCTAAAAACTGAAGCAGAATCCTTGCCTGGCACGGTTCCGAAGTGCAAGAACCCGATGTGGACGCCGATCGATGTGTCTTTACACAGAGCGATGTGAGTTACCCCCCGGGCCCCCCAGCTCGGAGCCGCGTGCCACCCACCCAACCCTGTTTGCCCAGCCCGTGCCACCTGTCCAGCTCCCGGTCAAACACCCGCAGATCCAGACCAGCAGGATTCTTACTGAGATCCCTGCCGTGCCACTCGTGATGACCTGCACCAGATTTACCTTCCAGAGCTTGAGCACATAGGACGCGGCTTGTAGGGTTCACGGCTTTGAGGCTGAGGCTTCAGGGTTCAGAGCCTGGTTTTGCCCGTTCGAGTAGGGGCTCTTTAATTCTCTTCACAAAACCATCTGAGATCATCTGCCGTACAACATTCATCCATTCAGGAGCTCTCACGCTCTCACATTAACATCCCTAAATCAAGTTTGCGGTTTGTGATGCTTAACCACAACACCGAACTGACTTCGACTCAGTGTCCACTTTTGAAGGTCCTGGGCCTGTGGTGCTGTTTCTAAATAAATCTTCTGTGGACAACCTGCATGTCGATTTCACATACCCCATCGTGCAAGTCTGACGGCTCCAAGCGCACCCTGAATCCCGAAGCCTTGGAATTGAAGCACGCAAAAAATTGAAGCACGCTAGGACTGGGAATAAATGTTCAATTGCGCAGGCAAGCAGGACCCCGCACGCGCTGGGCGTGCGAGGCGCTGCTCCGGGCCTGGCCTCTACGACTCAGCTTGCCTGTAGCATGCAAGACTCACTTTGCGACATGAAATTGGTGTCAAAGTGCAACCAGAAACACGACGCTCTCTAACTCTTTTTATGTCGAGCACATTCCAAAGCTCTTGGTCATGCAAATCTGGCCTTCTCAACCGTGCTTACAGCAGAGTTGGCACGGGAAGCACTGTGCTCTCAGAGATGTCAGCCCCAAATATCAGTAAGCACTTCAAGTGGTAGTCATCGCGGCCACGAATTCAACTTCCATGGAACTTGCATTTGGCAGGACCAATTTCCATATCCATGGTCTGTATGGTGCTTACGCAGCAAATCCCGGCAACTTGACGACTCGAGTTGCCCGAGAAGCGTGTTGAACCAACGGGCCTGGTCGTGAGAGTCGTGGGGCACAAGACACGCCGAGAAGGGCTCCAAGTCTGAAAAGCCCTTCGGGATTGATGGAGTCTCCAGCCGCGGCCTTCGCACATACCCCTTGCGCTACCATGCGCTGCTGTGGCTGTCGCAATATGACAACAGGAAGTGCTCGGAGACTCTCCTGCACCGACGTTTGGAGCACCGGCTCCCCGAAGTTGAGGATGTTGTGGTCATCCACGGACATTTCGAAACAGCTAACCTCGTCCAGCTCAGCCCGCTCTCCGTTGATCTGCGGCAAGTCTCTCTCAACAGTCTGGCGGGACCCCCTAACAGAACTAGCACAGGCAACGAATTACGGCGCAAACGTGGAGACACTTCTTCCTGACCGCCAGCGACGAGAGATCGCCCAAGCTAGTCATGCACTGGGAAAGGAATCTCCGCGTCTAACAAATTCCAGGCACCGCCATGAGCTTCGAATATGCTGCTTTCCCCTTGCCGCTTCAGTTGCCGGCTTCCTTCTTCGTCATAGCAACCCAAGCCTGGGATTTCTGAACACGACTCGCTAGTCCACGGGGCAGCTCTATGGTATCGTCTTCCAGGATCCGCGTGGCCAGCATTTGTCTCCCGGCACATCTTGAGCTGGCAGCCTGCCCCTCGTAAAGGCGGCAGGACTGCCAGCTCTCGTACACTTCCAGAATCGCACACCTCTGTCCGGCGCCGGCTGCTGGGTATCGCAGTTCTAATTTGTACCCCAGCTTCCTCAGTGATGTCAAGTACGCAACAATACATAGCAGCCACAGATGAGGCTGTCCCTCTCCATAACTCTCTTCCCCTTAGAGCCTTGCCACCTTCAACAACACAGGAGGCTGGACTCAACAAATGAGACGCAGACTGAGGACCGGCTCGGACTTGCTCCCAGGCATCATCATTCGTCGGCATGGCGGTTTCAGCTCCAAGCAATTGCTGTGGCTTAATCAAGCTTCATCCCCACCTACACTAGCAATGTGCAGCGCGACTGGCCACTGTGCTCTTCGAATCCTTACGTGCCGTAGTCTTCGTAGGGCCATGGGGCTAGGCATTGCAAGCAACACACTGGAGCGGCACCCGTTGGAGAAAGGTGATGTCACAGGCAGCCGAGGCCAAGATTGGCAACATGCCAAAATCACAACAGATGTCGAGAGCATGTCTCGCGGCTCACGGAACCCGCACCTCGCACGGGGCCGCCTCCACCACCGGCTTTGTGGTCGCGCCTGCAAAAGCCTCCCCCAGAACGAAAAAGCGAGAGCAACATATACTTGAGCATGGAGCACCACGGATATTGCACCTTGAGATCGGTCCAGAGCCCAGCTCTTTTGAGTTGGACCTTAACTTCGTGGCATCCATATGCCATGCCATGGTGAACGCCTGAAAGAGAATACCCAACACGAAGGCCCCTGCTCGGGCTTGCTTCAGGGCCTTGGTGGCCTCAAGTCAGGCGTTGAATTCCACACTTTGCCCAAACTCAACATGAATCGGCCTGTTTCCTTTGAGATCGTCTGGACATTCGCCTGAACGCAGGCCGATTTCGGTGCCCAACTGTCCACATCAGCTACAAGTACAGCTGGGCCCCAAACGAAGGCTGTCGCAACGAGGCTCTGATGTTCGAATTTTGCTCGACAAATTAATCTCAAGCCCCTACAGGCCCTAGACTCGCATAGACCAGCAATTATCAGACATCAGCATTTGAGGATCCAGCTGCTGTGTGTTTAAGGCATAGATAGCCCCAAGCACCTACCATTCTTGGCCCATGTTCGGGCTGAACAGTCCTTTTTGAGTTATGGGAAAGCTTGCGTCCTCAGGGAGTTGAGCCAGATTGGCTCAGATTTCGGAGTACTCACGATGCTGAATGCGCCAAAACAAGCATCATAAACCAAGTAGTTACAAAGATCATGTTGTGGCAAAGCCATTGCAGAAAATGTCCACTCACTAGGTTGCTGTCCAGCTGGACACTCCGGAGTCCCGTGCCCTCATGGGATTCCAACGGACGTGACCCTTGGCCGCCAGCTAATTGAGGAGTCCCTCTCAGTGCGCCGTACTATTTCGGGTACTTGCGCGCCAACGTGCGAGTAGGTGCAGGCTTCCGTTGCGTCGCTGGGCAGCGTCCATGTGGGGCAGGGACATTTTCCGAACCGGGAGCAGTGGCAGGTAAACGATCGCCAAAGATTGCCTGGGCTCCACTGGGGCCTCCCCGAAAAACTCCCCTTACCGCGCCTCAGTCTGCATTGGGCTCTTTGTCTTGTGCAACCAATCTTTGGTCACGAGCGTCTGCGTTTCACGCGAAGCTCCCCTCAGGCGACTCAGCTGGCTCTGGCTTCCGCTTTTCGGGAAGCATCGGGAAGCGCACGGGTGAAATGATGCGGTGCAGCAATGCAATGGCCAATTGCCTAATCATCTTCCTCCGCTTCCTTTTTGCGGGTGGGTTTACAAGGCAGCTGTGCCGAGGTTTATAGGCCCCTCGCTCTCAGGAAAGCAAGCCGTGCGTCTTGCAGGCTCGCATGTCTCCGTCCTCAGAGCACGGAACGTGGCTTGAGCATCACGGTGTAAGCTCCATATCTTGGCAGGGATGAACCCTTTGACTGTTTGGCCACGTGGACAATCCGTGTTCCACAAGCTCGAGAAAATGATCGTTCTCACAATACACACAAAAAGAAGGAGTGCAACGAGGCTTTTCTGATCACACTGCCTACGACTTTGCGGCTGTGCGCCACTCCGACATGTGTTGCCATATTTCGGGTTGAGGGATTTGGGCTTGCGAGCCTGAGACAAAAGAAGTTGGTGCGCATGCTATGATCGGGGCTATACTCTGCTGCGAACAGAAACCCCACGACCTTAGCCTTGTCAGGTGCTGAAGGGGGGGAACTCTGTGCCATAGATTGCGGGCCTGAAAATCCTAAACTCTGATCTCTCGACTCTGCTATGATGCCAAAGTCCCGAGAGACCGCCCTGAAATGGCTGAATCGCCGGCCCGGCTGCACGAACGGAAGGGTGAACGCCAGGCTGTCTCCTGCCAAATCAAATTTAAGGTTTCTTGAGCTTAGGGAGTTCAGTTTGCACTCTATTTTTGTGATGGCTCTTTTCCGACTGCGAGCAGTCCATTTGGGTTTCGGGCTTAGCACCGAGAGCTCTTGATGTCGGTTTTGAGGTTGGGGCTGAGGGTTGTTTTAAGATAGGGCTGGCATTGGTATGTGGTTCAGCATTTAGTTTCGGAAGTAGGATTAAGGGCTGGTAAACCGCAAACCCTGCACCCCCGTGTGCCTAGGTAGGTGCTGTCGTCGTCGCCACTGGACTCCGAGGATCTCCCAAGGCCTTTGCCGGAAGAACTTGGAGCGGTTTCGCTTGGGTCTTTCAACCCCAGGTTCCGGGGTTGGTTCCGTAGGGCCAAAGAGTAGAAGTTGAGGGACGCAGGGATTATTGTCTTTGTAATTCTTCAACGAGTAGGATACGAAAGGTTCTGGCATAAAGGAAACAGAAAAACTGTCTTTTGGCAGTTCAATTCAAGGACCCAGTTCAAGTTGCGATATCGGCGGAATTGTGCGTGTCTGTTCCTTCGATCTGGACATGACTCGCAACGCACAGATGCACCGGGTCACCTGTCGGCTCTTGCAGCCCCTAGGTTCAGTCTTCGCTCGCATTTGTTCGCCTTCTCCGGTGCAGATTCAAGCGGTCTCAGGAGATGGTGGCCATCGTGAAGGACTTGGTGCACAAGGAGGTGAACTTTCGGTGGAGATGTTCGGCGGCGGCAGTTCGTGTGGCCGCAATACAGTCACCAAACAAATCGGACGGAAACTAGCACCCAAGAAGTAGAGTGCCAAGTGTGCTTCCGGGTTTGATCCTTTTCGGCACCTCCTCCAAAACGTTTCTTCAACTCAATGGCCGCTGAGCGCATTTTGACCCAGCCTGACTCTCCCGGAAGGTCTCTTGCTGCTTCCCGTCGTGGTGGTGGTGGTGGTGGTGGTGGTGGTGGTGGTGGTGGTGGTGGTGGTGGTGGTGGTGGTGGTGGTGGTGGTGGTGGTGGTGGTGGTGGTGGTGGTGGTGGTGGTCGTGGTGGGAACAGCAGAGATGATGAAGTACCGCAGAACAACGATTCACCACATTCCTAAGCTTTGAGATTCTTCCCAAGCAAGTGCTCCGGGTTGCCAGGAAGTAGATCGCAATTATACCAATGAGAAGCATTCTTGCAATGTGTTACATACTATACCGTATCATAGAATATTCCGTGTAGTCATATAGCATAGTATATCATAACAAAGTAGACCATTCAGAAGTCAGAGCTCTGTTGATCTACGGCCTTTTCCTCAAGGCTCGGGTTCAGCATCGCCTCTCTTGAAAATCTGGGCCTTGCCCCCAAAGAACCTGAAATTCTCCAAGGCCAAGGCGCCAGGCGGAGAAGATCTCTTCCCCAGCCTCGAGCAGAGAGGGCTCTGGGCTCTGCTTTAGGCGAGGGCTCTGCTGACTGGGGGGTCTTTCTCACACTAGACCCTAAACTCTCTCAACCGCAAAGCCAGCCCGGTGAAAAACCGCAGTCTGCAGAGTCTGCGGCGCTGGGCAGCTGAGCCGGCTTTGCAGGACCAGGTTTGCCAAAATTCTGGGGCCAGAGGAGACCGGCGCGAATGCCGCGACTTCCCGACCAAGTACAAAATTCATGAAACTCCCAGTCGTGTTGCTGTAACCTGTACATCAACACTGTAACACTTCAAAAGCTAATCATAACGCAGGTCATGCAATAACTTTAACAGTCAAGAAGTAAACACCAGGCAGTCATTTGACAACGCAGGTCTGAATTTCATTTGCGAAGCCCACATCGAGATCCTTCGCTGCCTGGTACACCATTCGATGGAACTCCGTGCTGCCATCTCTGAAATACTTCTCCAGGCCAAGAGTCGGGATGTCATCAACAGCACAACAGCGAGCGAGCAGAACAGTGCGGTGTAGTGTTTGCAGATGCTTGGAAGGCGTGAGTGCACTGAACAACCACGGGTCAACGTGTTGGCAGAAGGCCCAGTGATCCAAGGAATGCACGACAGTCCCCAAGTAGTGGGCTTCGCAGCTGTAGTTTGCTGGGAAATCGGCCCTGCAGTGATTGAAAGCCTGCCTAAAAGGGACTCTCAGCTGGATCATGAACTTCAGGAGTTTGGAATGCTCTGCCAGCTTCGTCACCAGCTTATGCTCTGCGACTCCTGTGCTTAAAGACTCAACGAGGACCGCTTCAACAGCGGGTCCTGCATCCTTATGCACCATGTTGCTGGCCATGCGGGGGAAGTTAGTGAATCCATAATGGATGTAGCAAGGCCAGGATCTCTCCATCAAGCTCCGCAGTCAGGAAGTCTTCCGTGTCGAGGTTCAACTTCACCACCATCCTCTTCTTCACTTCGAAGCGCACCTTCGAGTCGCAATCGTCGCAGTCCACGTACATCGGGAAGGGGCTGTAGACAAAGGTGGCCACACGGCCCTCCGCCTCCGTGTCGTCAATGCGGGCCACGCCGGTGCACAGATTTTCCAAGACCAGGTGGTAGATCCTCGGCTGCAAGTGCTGCAAGTACAAACTTCTAAACCCTGAAAGCAAAGCAGCTTTCTTGGCTTTGAGTCGGCTCGGCGTTTCAACCCAGGAGCATGCGCCGCACCTTCTCTTCCGTTGCCTCTGGGAGCAGGCCGCAGAAGCTCAGCAGCCGAGCCAGCTGGATCTGGCACCATCCGCTTACCTGGGCAGCGAAAGAGCAGAAAAAATAGGCAGAAACCAAGTCGATCTAGAGAGGAAAGGTCCCACGAACATCGACTTTGTCGTAAGTTTGTGGCAAGACCTTTTTGCATGTTTTTTACTACCTACGCTATGACAGGCCGTTCGACTGTGGTCGGCTATAGCCATACTACTGGCTGGAAGGGAAAATCAAACCAAAGATCTGATAAAGGCTTACTTGTTTGACCCAACCACCACCAAAGCAAAGGCTGGCAGAGCAATGCAATGGGCGGCCCAGAGATACTGCCACAGAGTCAAGTGCACGTGGTTCATGTCCATCATAAAGTTAAAGGTTTGGGTGCCGCTGACGGGACAGGAACCCTTGGATCCCAAGGCTTCTTGACCTAGTAGGACGGGACAGCCCGCAGATTTCTGCATCGACGGGCACCGGACCGTGGGGGGCCGTCCGTTGCTCGGGCTGGAGGCGTTGGAGCGCGAGAGACGCGTCGAGAAGTGAAGCCCCCAGCTTTGGACGGCCCAGGCGAGCCAAGAAGCCCAGATGCCTCCGACAAGCAGAAGACTCCAGAACACCATCGCGCTCATCGTGTTACCGCTGACTCGAAGCTGCTGGCCAAATGTCTGCATGTCGGTCACTGGAAATGAAGTCTGGATGTCACTTGGCGAAAGCCGCGCACAATGACCTGAAACCGAAGGCCTCGCCGAGCAGTGCTCCAACCGGAACCCCAATAAAACCTCAATGTCACCGGTCCTTCAGCGGCGAGCACCTTGGCCTCCTCCGCCGCCCTCGAAGAAGGCTAAGTTACTTCCTCACACGGAGGGAGATTGCATCCGCGTTTCGGGCAGATCTCAATACGGGGATAAGCTCAAGATTCCGATGGTGCTCAGGATCGATGCTCCAATTACCATCGAACCGATTGGTGAAACCACGCTACCGTTCATATCACTCTCCCGCTCAGCTTGATGTACTGAAGCGCACTGTTGCTGAAGTCATCAGTATAATCTGAATGATGAGTGCCAATCCCGATGATCCAGACAACATGGGGTTGGCCGGGATAGAGCCCACCTGGGGCATCCGACAAGGCCTGTAAGTAGCTGAAAAAACTCCCGTACCGGAAGGAACCGTCTCGCTGGCTTAGGGCTTAGGGTACGGTATACTAAGTATACCCCAAACAACAGTATCAGCACAATCGGCACTGTCACTCTCACGTGTCCATCCTGTCCCGCTCTTGCAACCAGGTCTCCAATTGGTTGGCTGCTCGCTCGAAGAATTCATGTATGCCATCGACCAGAGACTGCATCATCCCATCCGAGATGCTACGGTACTTCCCTGCCGGGCACGAGACCTGAAACCACATGCTGGGATCTTCGGCAGCGTGTTTGTTCAGAGGGCTGACAGTAGGCATCACGGCATGTCCTGTTTTGTGCTCTGAAGTCAACCTTTTGCGAGCCGGGACATGGACATGAACCGGCATTTCAGAATATCTGACTCTTATGAAAAGAACGTTAGTCGGCTCGAAGTAGATCGAGACTCTCTTTTAGGATTCAAACTTTGGCGTGAGCGGCATCTGCCGCCGCAATCGAATTTCTCGTTGTATGGGCGCTTGGATGGCCACAGTCCAGGTCGGCTCTATGAAACATGCAAAACTCACTGGTCTGACTGCTGAACTCATCACCCTGCGCTTGCTGGACTCCTGGCTCCGGGGACTGAATGCGCGTTCCGCATCAAGCAGACCTGCTGCAGCGTCAGAGAGTGTCTGTGCTTGTCCGCTCGCTCGCAATGAGAGCATTGAGCTGAAGGAAGCTAGACACGGCCTGTGCTTTCATTTATCTTGCCGTCCCGTTAAGATTGATGCCCTTTCAAAAGTGAGAACACAAACACCTCAGCTCACTGTCCCATAAAGCACCACGTCTCGTGGGCACCGACGAGCGGCACAGCATGCTGAGAACCAGCCCGAGCATGCGCGCCACAGGATGGAGGGGTAGCATTTTGCAGCCCCATTTCGTTGCAGCCGCCATTTTGGCAGTCATGGCTGCTGTCTCTGGCCGGCCAGTCACGCCCTTCATCGTTCCTATCACAGTCTCATTGTTTCCAGTTGCTAAAAGGTTACCGAGGCAGTCTGACTTAATTAGTCAGTGAGCTACTCAATCCTGGCGCCCAGGCAGACAGGCAGCACATACTAGGTTGAATTCATAGTGCCAGGTGTTGTACCTTTGCTCCCTAGTTCTCGGTCCTTGGCTTCTCTTTTCCTTTGTTCTTCTTCGTCTTCTTCCTCTTCTTCTTGTTCCTCTTGCTGCTGCTCGTAGAAGTCCTGCATCATCTGGTTCAGCTGTTCCTTTACGGCGTCACATGTACCTAGGACGAAGGCCATGTGTTCCTTGACCTGTTGCCGGTCTCTGTCGTTCTGTTCGGCCATTTCCTGAACCTGGTGCTTGACGTCGTAGATTTGTCCTGTCAAGGACTCCACACAACCAGCCACGTGTTCCTGGCTTTTGCGCAAACGCGCAGCTTCCTCTGTGTTCTTCCTGATCGACTCAGCGATCAAGTTCCTTTCATCAGAAGCGTTCCTTAAGGCGGTCGCCGCTTCCTTCAAAATCTCAAGTTCCTTGAAAACTTCCGCTGTGTTCTTGCTCGAACTCGCGCTTGCTTCCATGGCTGCTAAGGTTCCTTGGCTCTGTCCTTCTGTGGTCCTTTGACCTTCTGCTACCGGGCGAACTAGTTCCTGGATACCTGAGCGTTCCGCGAGTGTTCCGCAGAGTTCCTTGAGCTGCGAAAGCATCTCACAACATGTTGTTCCATGCGCTGTTCCTGAAGACGTTCCTAGCTCACATGCACTCGTGTCACTGCACATGCCGTCCTGCTCACATGCACTTGCACAACAGAAAACATGTTCCTGAAAGTCTGGCTGAAACTCTTCTTCCTGAACACAACTCTCAAAACACTGTTCCTTGAAACTCTGAATCTGAAGACTGTCTGAAATACCTGAAATTCCTGCAAACAACAAAGCTGCAAAAGACAAAGTTCCTGGGCTCTTGATCATTCTTACAACTGCTTTAGCTTGTGTTTGGGCCTTGTGTTCCTTGAGCTCTTCTCTGCCTACTGGTTCGTTCTCGCTGGTTTGAAAACCTAGCCAGTGCAACAACAGTCTGATACGCTTCGCTGAAAGGGGCTTGGTACCTATGTCGGCTGTGTTCTCCTTGGTTCCTACTGGGTGAACACTAATTGTTCCTTCTTTGTGGAGGTCTTGAAGAAAAAGGGTCCTGATCTGCAAATGCTTGACTCTTCCTACACCTTGCCTTGTAATAATTCCTCTAGCTGCAGAAGAATCCATGTACAAGTGTACCTTGCATTGTTTCCTGGTCAAGAATTCTACTGCTTCCTTCAACAATATAGAATCTGACGCTGCTGACGCTCCTGCGTAGTACTCTGCTTCACCACTGCTCAAGCTAACCGACTTCTGGTTCCTAGAAAAGGAGTAAATGCACTGACCGTCTAGGCAAACAATTCCTGAAGATGTTGAGCGCCTTGTGTCCTTCTTTCCTGCCCAATCTGAATCGCTGAAAACTTCCAAAAGGTGGTGTTCCTTGGGCCTTATTCCTGTAAAGTCGTAGTTACCGTTCCTGATGGATTCATGGAGATTACTGAGTCCTCTAGGCGTTTTCCTGTACACTAAATGGTATCCTTCAGTTCTCGACATGTACTGCACTAGGTGGACTAAGTGTTTCCAAGAACCATGTGTTGGTTCCGACATCTTGGAGGCCAAACCTCTCACGGCAAACTGCACGTCAGGGCGGTCCTGACTGACATACAAGAGTATGCCAACGCTTTTCCTGAACGATGCCGCTTGTTCCTGGTTCAAGGTCTGAGTGTTGTCCTGTTCCTGCGACTCTTGGGTGCACGGAGTTGGCTTCGAGGCTTTGCTGGTAAGCTTCAGTTCTTCCTTAAGCTTCACAAGATACTTCGGGTCACTCGTGATGTGGAGCTCGTGATTGTGGTAGCTGAATTTCCTTTTAAGGAATCGGATTGTCTGGTGTGACTCTCCTACCTCAAGTTCCTGCTCTGTTAAGAAGGGGCCTTCAACCTTTAGCTCGTAGGTTTCTCCTAGCTTTCCTAGCTTGGGCTCTAGGTGCCTTGTTTTCCCTGCTGCCTGAATGTCATCTACATGCACAACAAGTATGCTGTTCCTGTCGTCACGAAACAAAGTAGGGCAAGCTTTGCTCCTATCAAAGTTCTGCTCTTTGAGGGTTCCTGCAAAATGATCACTCCATAGTAGTGCTGCATCTCGCTGTCCTGGAAGTACTCTAAGCAGTAACAAACCTTCGTTCCTACAACTGGGGTCCTGGTCGCCAAACAGATCCACATATTCCTTCGGGAATTGACATGCACATCGAGTCCTTTGTGGGACCTGCAAGAATGCGTCCTTGACATCAATGGAGTACAGGGAATGTTCCTGTTGTAATCCCAAGATCGGGATAAGTCTCACCAACGATGCGCTCGTAGCTGGGCTGAACGTGTCGTTCCTTACTTCTGCTCCTTTGAACTCTCTCGCTACTAACCTAGCTCTCCGCATCCATCGGCCGTTCCTGAATCGCCAATCGAAGACGAATTTCGTCGTCAACCACTTTGTTCCTTGGTTGCTCTCTTCTTCTTCTGTCTCTCTCTCCTCTTCTCTCTCGAGTTCTTGCAAGGGTTTCCTTGCCAGTGCCTTCATCTCGGTGAGTCTGTTGATCTCTGTGAGCATTGCCTCACGATCCAGTTCCTGCAACTGGGCTTCTGCAACTTCTGGAGGTCCAGAATCTTCGCTCTTGAAGATGTCTTGTTCCTCATCGGAATCGCCAATGTCCGAATATGAATCTTCCCAGAAAATGTCCTCTGTACCTGGTTCTGCTTCAGGTAGTTCTTCATCATTGTGCTCAAATACTCTTCCTACGTTGAACGGAGGGTACTTCTTCTTCGGAGAATCAATCTTCGGGATCTTGGAACCTGTTCCTACATCGTCAAATTCCATTTTCCTAAGAGGTGCTGGTCCTCTAGCTGAAAGAAGCTCACTTGCCATTGCGCTGTCTGGGATGAGTTCTTCTTCTGAGGCTGCGTCCATTTCCTTACTGCTGCTACTAGAAGACGTTGGGTCTGAAGCTGCTTCGTCGTGTTTGTTTTGGTCGTATTCCTGCTCAAGTTCTTCTTCTGCTTTTCTCTTGCTCTGTGCCTGCTTCGCTTTGCTCTCTAGGTAGGTTGTCCTAGTAGGTCCTGACTTCCCTGCAGAGTCCCCGCCTTGGATGACAATCGGTCCTGCGATCGGTCCTGAAGGTGCGGAAGGTGCCGAGTCCTCGACCGACTGTTCCTGAGTTGCTCCATCCATGACAGGTGGCGCCTCTGCAATTGGTCCTGGAATGTTCTTCCTGGGAATGTTCCTTGTTGCCAGTGTAGTGTGCTTCACTTCCCAAGTGTGAATTCCTACGCTACTTATTCCTTTCACGTCGAAGTGTTCCACGCAACGTTTTGCGCTACGGCTTGTCTTGATGCCGTCCATGTGCCACGTAATGAAGAGGTTGTTGTCTGTTTTTCCTAAAAACACTCCTCTCAACCAAATAGGGTCACCTTTCCTATTGGCACGTGTTCCTGAACG